CTTAATATTCCTTTAAGTATCCTCTAAAAATTATCTGCAAAATTTACGTTTAAACAACTGGTAATAGTCCAAAAAAATCCTTTACATTAATATTTGGAGGCCATTTAGCGGACCCGCAAAGACTCGTTAAACTTTGAAAGAACTTTCAGGAGCCTCTAAAAATTATTTTAAAAATCCACTAATATTTTATTTAAAAATCCAACATTTTTATTAAAAACTTGCCTTCAGGGCGTCTTTTAGGAGTCAATGTTAAGGCATATTCACGAGCCCTATAAAATCCTTTTAAAAGCCCACTGTAGTAGGTAGTTTAGGGGACCCCATAATATTCACTAAAAAAGTCACGTGAGGGCCTCTATGACTACCAGAACTATTTTGAAAGCCCTGGAGAAGCCACAAAACATTGTTCAAATAATCATAAAACTCTTTAAAACAAACCACACTATAGGGCCTTCAGGGTGTCTTCCAGGAGTCCCAAATTAAGGTCTTTCAAAAGCTTCTAAAAATTCTTAAAAAAAAAAACGGTAGTACCTTTTAGGAATTGTTAAAATTTATTTTAAACAAGTAAGCAAAGGCTACAGTCGAGCGGGGCCGACCGTTGAATACCCTACAACACTATAATAAACCATACAGTTTATATAGGCGAGATACTCGAAGGAATTCCACAAGATATTGTGACAAATAATAAAAGAAAACCATCAGGTTCCGTTCTCTAATTTTCGAATAATAGCAACTTAAACTAATTTACCCATTTCCAATTTATTGGTAGAAGTTGCACGGAAATGGTCTTCCTAGATCTGGAACCAATATTTCCCAAAGACCTATAATCTCTCAGATGTGGCAAAAGATTAACATTTATTATTGGTTTTTGACTGAAACGCATCTATATGAGATACAGACATTTGACTATATTCTTCAACGAAGTCAGCGTTAACGATAGTCAGAAGTGCGTCTTTCCTTTATTTGTGAATTCTCCAAAAAGTCACTGTATTTTGTATACAAAAGTTGGCAAACTATTTCACACATTGAATATTTTTGGATGGCCATCCAAAACTGCTTGGCTTTTGTAATGTCCGGTAGCCCCTATTCAAATATGCGTGAGAATCGGGCGATAATTACGACCTGCAGACAATTTTGCAGTTTTTTGGTCCATTTTAACCCCTAAATATATGGCGATCATCTCCAAAAAGAGTAAGCTTCTATTCTGACCCTCATCTTATCTCCATGCAAAATTTCGTAAGGATCGGGCCATAAATGCGATCTGTATATGATATCCTGATATCCTAACTACTTAGTTTTGTTAGCTGTAAAAATATTACCAAATGTTTAATTCAAAATGAAAATATGCCAAAAATATGACAAAATTGAAAAATTATGAGAAAATTTTACAAAATCCATATTTTCATCTTTAGAGAGATATTTTTATGCGATTTTTTTGGACGTTTTTTCTTTCCTGTCAAGAGGCCATTTTGAATTAATGAGAACTGTGGAAATCAGTTCAGCCGTTCTCGACATATAAGAGATTTTTCAAGCATATCTTCTTTGATAAACGTATATATCGCACATATTTTGCTATATATCCGTTTTATTGGATGTTTACATCAATGTAAAGATCAGAAGTAACCTTGTCATGGCTTTGTGATTTCGCCGGGATTTAAAATATTCGCGGTTTAATGAAAAATTTTGAATTTTTTCAACACAAAAGATATGGTATATTTTACCCGCTAAATATTATCCGATGACCACCCAAATTGGTAGGCCTCTTCCCCGCCCTAAACTCTAGCTACATGCGAAATTCCGCGTCGATTGGTCTATAATTGCGACCTGTATAGCTACTGCAAAATCCGAAATTTTTTCAGTATTTGGTCCATTTCAACCCCTAAACATTTGGCGATCATCTCCAAAAGAAATAGGGTTCTATTCTGACCCCAGACCCACCTCCATTCTAAATTTCGTGAAGATCGGGCCATAATTGCGACCTGTAGAGTGATTACAAATTAACATGGACAGACGGACAGACGGACGGACGGACATACATAGCTAGATCGACTCAGCTCGACGAGCTAGGAAGATCCATATATACTTTCCTATGTGGGAAACCAATATTTCGAGGTGTTACATAATTTTTGGGCCAATCAAACTTATAATACCCCCAACACATAGTGTTGTAGGGTATAATTACCATGTTTGAAAGATTACTTCAGGATCCATAATATCCCCATTTTTAAGTCCATGAATAATCATTAAAATATTGTCAAAATAAACAACGTGAAGAGCCTCTAAAAACTCTTAAAAAATCTACATTGAAGGAACTTTCAGGTTTCCAGGACTTAATGAGTATTAGGATGACTGTTCCAAATGTCCCGATTTTAGGCCCTTCACGAGTCGCTGATAATTCTTTAAATAAATCCCTGTAACAAATCTGTTACGAGAGGCCCCAAAATTCTCGAGAAATCCACGTGAGAACCTTCCAGAACTACCTAACATTCTAGAAAAAAAGTTATTCAAAAAATATCTAAAATTTATTTAAAACACCCACATTTGAAGGGCTCGAAAGCCCACAAGTTTTTTAGGTTATCTTCCAAAAAATAATTTAAAAATCGACTTTTAATAATCCTAAAATAGCCTAAAAATGCAAGTATTAGGTTGCCCCAAAGGTCCTTAAAAAAGCCAATAAATTCTTTCGAAGAAACCACTTTTGCAAGTGGGGGCCCTCCAGAAGTATCTAAAAATTCTTTAAAGAAGACGTTCAAGGAATTTGTAAAGTTCACTGTTACAATCCACCTTTGAAGGCCAAACTATAGACCCAAGTCATTGGGCCATTGGCTTTCCTTTAAAATTTCTTTAAAAACATCAAATTATTGGGTCCTTGAATAAGTTCTTAATTTTTTTTTAATCACCTCTCGGGGCCTATGATTGGCAAAAATTCTCTACAAATAAAAGGTCTTTCCGGGTGCCTTAAAAAATCAGTCTGAAGATTGGCATTTAAGGTCCATAAATAGTTTCGAAAAATCCTTTTGGAAATCCCCACTTGGGAAGCCATAGAATTGTTTTTAAAGTCTCCAATGGAGGGCCTTTGGGACAGTTTTTAATCTTCATTAGAAAACCTAAGAATAGACTCCCAAAATCTTTTTTAAAATTCTGGTTAAAATTCCTACGAGAAGCTTCAAAAAAATTCTGAAAAAAATCCATCTTGCAAACTTATTAGGGGGCATCCAAAAAATCTTTAAATAATAAACACGCTAGAGCCTCAAGAAAAACTCTTAAAAAAATCTTACCTCAGCCAATTTGACTTGTTAATTTAATTTCTTTGTGAAAACTTTCGCCCCCCACAAAGTCTCTAAATTATGTACATTAATTTGATAGCACTTCAAACTTTTTGTTCAAATGTGTTTCTCGTGTAATTCGATTTGTATTTTGACAACAATATAGTTGAAATACAAAAAAAAACGAAGCGCCTCTTTATTAAGAACACATAAACCAGACAGCGGAATTATGCGTACAGCTTGCCAGCCTGCCTGCCTGCCATTGTTCTCTGCCAGGGAAGCCTCCAAGTGACAGTGCCCAACAAAAGACCAACAAAAACTTTGATTTATTTCATCAACAAACATTTGTCTAACGCAACGCAAGGCAAGGCAAAAAGAAAAAAAATTGGCAAAACTTTTGTCCTCCTCCAAAGCGGCGGGCGACAACAAAAACTTTGTCATTTAGCCAGATATCTACAGGCCTCTGAGACTGTCTGCCATCCTGCCTGCCTGCCTTCCTTCCATGTTATCCGTCCGTTCATTCATTCATGCCTTCATTTTTGTTCACACAGATGTCCCATATATCACTCATTGCAAAATCTTTCAAAACTAGGGAGAGAGAAAGATAAGAACAAATCAGTTTGATGTATGGCAGGGGGTGGAGAGAGTGAGAGAGTGGGAGGTTATAAGTGTGACTACTCAAGTGTGTAAAGATAACATCTGCCGAATTGTCAAAAGAAGACAATCAAGTTAAGACAGAGTGTAAACTTTATTTACACCCAGTTGTGTTGCTCTCTCTCTCTCTTTCTGCCCAAACTCACCCCCTTCTCCATTTTTCTTCTTCTTCTTCTTGTGCTGGTGTCTCAGAACGAGAGAAAATTATAATGAAATTATGCATACGACACCATGGCCGACACAAACACCGCCAACACCTACACGACCACAACACTTAAAGTAGTTGTTGTTGTGGTTTGGCTGTTTTTGTTGTCTGTGCTTTCACCCTCCCCCTCCTCCTTCTTGTACTCCTATAAAGCTGTGCTCTCAAGTGTTTGATGAGATATCTACTGCTACAACACCTACCAAAGACATAATCTAATGGTTATTCCCTTGCATGCAACGAAACACTAATACCTTTAAGCACACACACACACACTCATACACATACACACGTGGATAATCACAATGAAAATGAGGTGTTGCTGCTGCTGTTGCTATTTTTTATTGTTGTTTTTATTTTGACACTTTTAGTAGTTTTGATACTCTATTCATAATGAGACTTCTTGTGCCTCCACTCCCTGAAAACCATATCCCCCATCTTTCCCCTCCTTTTCATCTTCCTGGGAATTTTTTATTGTTTCAACAGAAGTTTTCACATTTCTTAAGGGATGTTGCATGAGAGATTAGGGGAGGGGGATGGAAGGGAGATACATCTGAAACTTAAGCTATTAATAAAAATTAAATTGCTTCCAAGGAAGACAAGGCGGATGTTGATGATGAGGATGACGATGCCGATGATATCTTCAATAGTAACTACAACAACAACAAAAAAGAAAGTTATTAATGACAAATGAAATGAGGTGACATAAATAACAAATCGTGAGAAGAAAATTGTCTGTTCATCCAACAACAAAAAAAACCGGGAGACATAATTCACTTTTATCATCATCATCATTATTTGAAATAGATTTGAGTTTAAGGCAAAAATTTAAAAAAATTAATTTGAAAATTAAATTCCTAAAATTTTTCTTTTCTTTGCAGAAAAAACAAAAATGTTGGACATTACGCGAGATCGGCCGGTAAAGGTGGCGGTTAAGGTGGCAGTGCCCGTCAGGGACCATCCAAAGGTGAGTGAAAATTTTGTAAAAAAAAAAAATAATTTCCAAGGGTTTAAGGCCCTGCAAGAAGGTCCACCCATCAAGGGGATATATTAAAGGATTTTAAGAGGATAACTCAAGGTCAATTTTAGAAGATTTTTTTGAGAATTTCAAGGGTTTCCTTGCAGGTGTTTCATTTGACATTTATTTAGAGGATTTTTAAAGAATTTATAGGACCTCCTTTTAAACGTTCCAAGGCCATTTTTGTAAAATCTTCAGTTTCGGTATTGACTTTTAATATAAATGTTCGAACCTCCTTTAAAGGTCGTATTTCGATATTCGCCATTAGAGGATTTTTAGAGGATTTTTAAAGAATTTGCAGCACCTTCTTTAAAACGTTCCAAGGTAATTTTTTGTAGATTCTTAAGCTCTCTATCAGATTGCTCCGGTACTGACTTACAATATAAATGTTTGAACCTCCTTTAAGGTCATACAAAAGGGATTTCTGAAATAATATTTAAAGGATTACCCAAGGTCTTTTTCGAGAATTTTCAAGGCTTTTTTCTGGAATTCTAACAAAGTGTATGTTTAAAAAGAGTGGCACTCTCAAGGTCCCCTTTGTAGAAATTTTGTAGCATATCAGATTGTTCCGATACTGTCTGTTAATATAGAGGCTCAAACCTCGTATTTATACCCTACAACACTATGTGTTGGGGGTATTATAAGTTTGATTGGGCCAAAAATTATGTAACACCACGAAATATTGGTTTCCCATATAGGAAAGTATATATGGATCTTCCTAGCTCGCCGAGCTGAGTCGATCTAGCTATGTATGTCCGTCCGTCCGTCTGTCCGTCTGTCCGTCTGTCCATGTTAATTTGTAATCACTCTACAGGTCGCAATTATGGCCCGATCTTCACGAAATTTAGAATGTAGGTGGGGCTTGGACCAGAATAGAACCCTATTGCTTTTGGAGATGATCGCCAAATGTTTAGGGGTTGAAATGGACCAAATACTGAAAAAATGTCGGATTTTGCAGTAGCTATACAGGTCGCAATTATAGACCAATCGACGCGAAATTTCACATGTAGCTAGAGTTTAGGGCGGGGAAGAAGCCTACCAATTTGGGTGGCCATCGGATAATATTTAGCGGGTAAAATATACCATATCTTTTGTGTTGAAACAAATCAAAATTTTTCATTAAACCGCGAATATTTTAAATCCCGGCGAAATCACAAAGCCATGACAAGGTTACTTCTGATCTTTACATTGATGTTAACATCCAACAAAACGGATATATAGCAAAATATGTGCGATATATACGTTTATCAAAGAAGATATGCTTGAAAATCTCTTATATGTCGAGAACGGCTGAACTGATTTCCACAGTTCTCATTAATTAAGAATGGCCTCTTGGCAGGAAAGAAAAAACGTCTAAAAAATCGCATAAAAATATCTCTCTAAAGATGAAAATATTGATTTTGTAAAATTTTCTCATATTTTTTTCAATTTTGTCATATTTTTGGCATATTTTCATTTTGAATTAAACATTTGGTAATATTTCTACAGCTAACAAAACTAAGTAGTTAGGATATCAGGATATCATATACAGATCTCATTTGCATGGGGATAAGATGAGGGTCAGAATAGAAGTCTACTCTTTTTGGAGATGATCGCCATATATTTATGAATGGGGGTTACCGCACATTGCAAAAGCCAAGCAGTTTTGGATGGCCATCCAAAAATATTCAATGTCCGAAGGAGTTTGCCTACTTTTGTAGACAAAATATGAAAATGTCCATTCCAGTGACTTTTTGGAGAATTCACAAATACAGGAAAGACGCACTTCCGACTATTTCGTTAACGCTAATTTCGTTGAAGAATATAGTCAAATGTTTGTATCTCATATAGCGTTTCAGTCAAGAACCAATAATAAATGTTAATCTTTTGCCACTTCTGAGAGATTATAGGTCTTTGGGAAATATTGGTTCCAGATCTAGGAAGATCATTTACGTGCAACATCTACCAATAAATTGGAAATCAGCAAATTAGTTTAAGTTGCTATTATTCGAAAATTAGAGAACGAAACCTGATGGTTTTCTTTTATTATTTGTCACAATATCTTGTGGAATTCTTTCGAGTATCTCGCCTATATAAACTGTATCGTTTATTGTAGTGTTGTAGGGTATTCAACGGTCGGCCCCGCTCGACTGTAGCCTTTGCTTACTTGTTTTAAAATATTTTTTAGAGGATTATTCAAGACCTCTTTTAGGAATTTTTAAGGCCTTTTATGAAGATCTAACAAAGTGGTCATTTACAAAAAATTGAAAATGCTCCCTCAACGCCACTCTTTGGAGAAATTTTGGAGCATATTTAAAGTCTCTAAAATGTGGATTTTTTACAGAACATTTTACACATTTTAAAGAATTTTTTTTTCCCCTCAAGGCCTCCATTGGAGAAATTACGAAACCTCTTTAGAGGCTCTTAAACGTGGATTTTGTAAAGAATTTTGGAGCCTTTTTACAGGCTAGGGCAATGTGGATCTTTTAATTTTTTTTTTTTTTTTTTTTTTTTGAAGAAACTCTAAAGACATACCAAAGAGAATGCTTTAAAAGAACTCGGAGAGACTCTCTCAAGGCACATTTCAGAGCTTCCTTAATACCTTGTAACTGGAATTTTTTTAATGTATTCTTGGACCTACTAGAAGGCGTTTCGTATGGCATTTTTTTAACGATTTTTGAGGATGCTTCAGGCTTTAACTATGATGGCTTTTTTTACGGCATTTAATGGGTCTCTAGGATTTATGACCAATAAAATGTCGCATAATAGGGGCTTTTGAATTTTTTTTTTTAAACTTAGAGTCTTCTCTAGGTTCGTTTAATAATGATTTTTTGAACATTTTTCGGGGCTCCTTTAAGGTCTGCTAACATCGATTTCCTAAATAATTTTTAGAACCTTCCTAATGACATTTCAATGAAGGCTTTTTATATTTTCTTTAGAGCCTTTCCAACCTCGATAATTAAGAAAGTTCTTCAACTTGTATTAAAGTCTAGAAATAACCTTTGGACACCCCCTAAAAGTCCACGAACGAGGATTTCCTAAAGAATTTGTAGAGACAACATTAACGTGGATACTTTTAAGAATTCTGGATACCCTTGAAGGGTCTAAAAAGTGTTTTTAAAGAATTTTTGGAGCCTTCCTGAAAGTCTACAAACGTGGATATTTTTAAAGAATTTGTAAAGGCACCCTTGAAGCTACAAACCTGGATTTTTTGGATACTCATCAAAGCTTTTCATGCGTGGATTTTTAAAAAAATTTCGGAGGCTTCTCAAAGTTCTTGAACAGATTTTTTATTTATTTATTTTTATTATTATTATTTTTTTTTTTTTTTGAGAATTCCAGAATCTTGAAGTGTGATTGAGAAAAAAATTTGATTTCTCAAAGGTTTTGAAACCAGAATTTTTTACGAGGCTCCTCAAAGGCCTTCAAACCACGAGTTTTTAAAGGATTTTAAGATTTTTTAAAAACGTAAAGAATCCTCCATTCCTTTTAGAGACTCCCCAAAGGCATTAAAACGTGGATTTTTTAAAGAATTTGCGGAGGCGTCTCTCAGGTCTCCAAAAGAAATTTTTATTTCTTTTGTTTTTAGAATTCCAAAACCTTTGAGACGTGTATTTAAAAAAATTCGAAATTACTCAAAAGCTTTCAAACCTGGATTTTTGGAAACTCCTCAAAAGCCTTCAAGCCTCGTGTTTCAAAAAAATTTTAATTTTTTTTAAATATTTTAGAGACTGCCTTCAAACGTCGATTTTGGTAAAGAATTTTGGGTCTTCAAAATTTTTTTTTCAAACTTGGATTTTTTTTCAAAGACCTCTGGATTCTGGATTTTTTTCGAAGAACTCCCAAATACCTTCAAACGTGGATTTTGTGAAAGATGGATTTTTTAAGAGTTTAAAGAGACTTTTTTAGAGACTAGTAGTAGTTTCTACTTTTATTCATTTTTGTGGAGATCTCTAAAGTCTATAATCTTTTTAAAAAGTTTAGTAGATCATAGTCAAAATTCCCAAATGGGTCCCGATTTTCATACAATCTCAGAACCGGCCAAAATTTCAAAAAAAAAAAAATGTCCCCTGATCCGACCAACCTCGTTACATCTGGAAAATTTGATCAATTCTGAGGAAGATATAAAAACCTCGACCCATAAGGGACCATCTGTGCAGATTTGTCAAAATTTCCAAAAGTTTCCCCCTATGGATCCCAAACCCGATCGGAATTTGTAAATGAGAGTTCCTTAGAAAAATATCCCCAAGATCCGACCAACCTCGTTACATCTGGAAATTTTGATCAATTCTGTGGGAGATACCCAAAACCTCGACCCACAAGGGACTATCTGTGCAGACTTGTCAAATTTTCCAAAAAGTTCTCCTATGGAACCAAGGACCGATCGAAATTTCTAAATTAGAGTCCCCAAGGCCTCCCCTCGGTACACCCAAATGGACCATCTTTGGGAATGTTAAACAGTTCTGGGGAAGATAAAAAAGCGTGAACCCATAAGAGACCGTATTTGCAAATTGTTGCAGGTTCCTGGGAAGTTACGTAAAAGTGAACCCATAGTGGGACCCTTTTTGAAAATGAAAATGTGGATCCATAGAGTCCCTTTTGAATATTTTGACCATTTCCGGAGGCGGTACGAAAACATTGACCCATATGGGAACCTTTTCGGAAATTTTGGACAGTCCTGAGGAAACGTGAAACTAGGTGACCTATGTAACAAAAGAACGCTTTAACTACTACTAAGACTTACCAGATACCCTCATTACAAACGTAGATTTTTTTCCTCTTTTCGTTGAATTTGTTAAAGGATTTAGGATATTTCTAAAGGGGTTTTATGTGTTTTTTTTTTTGCAATTTGGGTCCTCTCTAGGGGTTTTAAACGTATTTTTTAAGAATTTTTAGGTCGTCCGTTTGGCATTCAGACGAGATTTTTTAAAGAATTGTTGGCCCTTTTTCAAGGTCTTAAAGCGTGGACTTTTTAAATAATATCAAAGTAATCTTCATGTACTTCAAACGTTACTTTAAAAACTAGGTTCGTTTTAGGGTCTTCACACATGTTCATTTGGAAGATTTTTAGAGCCTGCTTTTAGGTCCACCAAGGGGATCTTTCTCAGCATTTTAAGACCTTTGATGCTTTTAAACGGAAAATTTGATTTGTTTGATTTGAATGTCCTAAAGTCTACAAAAGAAGTTTTTATAACAAATTTAAAGGTCCTTTTCAAAGTTCTTCGAACGCGGATTTTTTTGTACGATTTTTAGAGCCTCCTTTAATGCCAACCAAGAGGATCTTTTTCACAATTTTTAATACCTTCCTTTATTCCTTCGAATTAAAGAAGTCCACATTTAGACGCTACCGTAAGGTTTCTTAAATAGTTATTTTTATATACCGTTCCGAGTGATTTATATGATGAAATATTTTTCTAGGCTTCCTTAAGGTCCTACACCTTGATTATTTATTAAGATACTTTTAGAACCTTCAACTAAATATATTTTTCCATTCCCCTTATCTATTACATTTTATTTCAACATTAACAACTTCTTCTTCTTCTTCTTGTCGTTCGTCCTCCATCAATTTCTCGTTGACAGTTCAATTTCGTTGGCAAATTGCTGGGACCCAAAGGAAACTCCATGAAACGTTTACAGGAAGAGACCATGTGTAAAATGGCTGTACTCGGTCGTGGTTCGATGCGAGACCGTAAAAAAGAGGAAGAGTTGCGCGGCAGCGGTGACAGTCGTTATGCCCATCTCTTCGAAGATCTGCATGTGGAAATTTCAACATTTGCTGCACCGGCGGAAGCCCATGCTCGCATCGCATATGCTTTGGCGGAAGTACGAAGATTTCTGGTGCCGGTAAGTTCAAAAAATGAAAAAACAGAAACAAAAACAAAAAAAACTTATTTATGTTGTGATAAAAAGTTTTGCGGTTGGTGGTATATGTATTACATGGAACCACCTTTCCGGGAGGTGCATCACTTAAAAACACTGTGAAAACAAATAATTTGCGTAATTACTTTGCTGTTGTCGTTGTTGCTGTTGTTGTTTGCCAGGAAAAACATTAGAGGAGGTTATTAATGCAACCACACACGCACGCACACACACACTCAGTTGGAGGGCGTGAGTGTGTGCCTGTAGGGCGTGAGTGTGTTGGTTGGTGGGTGGGTGTGGATGTTTGTCTGTAGTTTATTCGAAAGTTTTGCGACATCTGTGGTCGCATCCAACAACAGCCAATGCAACTAATTGCAGTTGTCTACATTTTTTTTTGATCTCACACACGAGTGCCTGGCTAAGCAGAGCCATTGAAATCTTAATAGGCTCTGGTTTTTAGGCCCCATAACGTAAAATTTTAAAATAATTTTTGGAGACTATGTAGGGCATTTACAATGTGCCTTTTTTGGAATTTTTGGAGACTATTTTAAAGGCCTTCAATGTGGATTTTTTAAAGAATTATTGGAGACTATTTAGAGACCTTGCAACGTGAATTTTTTAAAAAAATTTGGAGACTATTTGAATAACTTGCAACGTGGATTTTTTAAAGATCTTTTGGACACTATTTGGATACCTTGCAACTTGAATTTTTTAAAGAATTTTTGGAGACTATTTTAAAGGCCTTCAACGTGGATTTTTTAAAGAATTTTTGGAGGTTGTTTTTAAAGGTTTTCCAACGTAGATTTTCAAAGTATTTTTGGAGGTTGTTTAAAGGTTTTCCAACGTAGATTTTCAAAGTATTTTCGGAGCCAATTTAGAGGCCTTGTACCGTGACTTTTTTGAAAGAATTTTTGGAGCCTTTTTGAAAGCCTTAAAAAGTGGCCTTCAACATGGATTTTTTTAGAGACCTTTTAACCCTAAAGGCCTCGAGGCGTTGATTTTTTAATACATTTTTGGAGGTAACCTAAAGACCTCAAAACGTGGATTTTTTAAAGAACTTTTGGAGGTAACCTAAAGGCCTCAAGACATGTATTTATTAAAGAAATTTTGAAGGTAACTTAAAGGCCTCAAGACGTGGATTTTTAAAAGAATTTTTTAGGGGAAACTGAAGGCCTAAAGACATGGATTTTTTAAATAATTTTTTAGGGGAACCTAAAGGCCTCAAGACGTGGATTTTTAAAAGATTTTTTTAGGGGAAACTGAAGGCCTAAAGACATGGATTTTTTAAATAATTTTTTAGGGGAACCTAAAGGCCTCAAGACGTGGATTTTTAAAAGAATTTTTTAGGGGAACCTCAAGGTTTTTTTAAGAATTTGTGAAGGTAACCCAAAGGCTTGAAGACGTGGATTTTTAATAGAATTTTTTAGGGGAACCTGAAGGTTTTTTTAAGAATATGTGAAAGTAACCCAAAGGCTTGAAAACGTGGATTTTTAAAAGAATTTTTTAGGGGAACCTGAAGGTTTTTTTAAGAATATGTGAAAGTAACCCAAAGGCTTGAAGACGTGGATTTTTTAAAGAATTTTTGGAGGTAACCTAAAGGCCTCAAGACATGTATTTTTTTAAGAATTGTTGGAGACTATTCGGAAACCTTGCAACGTGGATTTTTAAAAGATTTTTTGGAGTCTATTTGAATACCATGCAACGTGGACTTTTTAAAGATTTTTTGGAGTCTATTTGAATACCATGCAACGTGGACTTTTCAAAGATTTTTTGGAGTCTATTTGAATACCATGCAACGTGGACTTTTCAAAGAATTTTTGGATCCAATTTATAAATTTTGCCTCGCGGATTTTTGAAAAAAATTTAGGAGTCTATTTGAATACCTTGCAACGTCTATTTTTTAAAGAATTTTTGGAGACTATTTAAAAGCTTTTCAATAAGAATTTCCAGGAGACCATTTGTATATTTTTTAAAGAGTTTTTGGAGGTTATTTAAAGGCCTTACAACGTGGATTTTTTTTTTAAATTATGGAGGAATCCCAAGCGGCTTGCAGTGTGGATTTATAAAGTATTTTTGGAGACAACTTAAAGGCCCTACAACGTGGATTTTTTACAGAATTTTTGGAGGCTATTTGCAGACTTTACAACGAGTATTTTCTATAGAATTTTCTGGCGATTGTTTTGAGAAATTACCGCGTCCTTTAAAGTCCTATACCGTGGTATGTAAAACAATTTTTGGAGAATATTCGGAGACCTTACCAAGTCCACTAAAGGTCTTATAACGTGAATTTTTAAAAGAAATTTTGAAAGTCCCCTGAAGGTCCAAAGAGGATTTTTGAAAGATTTTTGGAGAATATTTGGAAACATTGCCAAGTCCCCTAAAGTTTCTATAACGCGGATTTTTAAAAGTTTTGAAGGTCCTACCACATGGATTTTTAGAAGAAATTTTGAAAGTCCCCTGAAGGTCCTACAAAGAGGATTTTTGAAAAAAATTTTGGAGAATATTTGGAAACATTGCCAAGTCCCCTAAAGTTGCTATAACGCGTATTTTTAGAGAAGTTTTTAAGGTCCTACATCGTGGAATTTTTATAAGAATTTTTAAAGGTCTCCAAAGATCCTACAACGTGGGTTTTTAAAGAATTGTTGAAGGTCTCCTAAATTCCTAAAGCTTGCATTTGTAAAGGATTTTTTAAACGTCCCCTATGGTCCTACAATGTGGTTTTTTAAAATAATTTTTGAAGCTCCTTTAAAGGTCTTACAACATCAAGTTTTTAGATAATCTTCAGAGAGTAGGCCCTTTCTTATGGCCCACAAACTCTCTCAATTCCCCCCCTCAATCTACCACATCACCAGCTTACCTTGCCTGTTGCCTGTGGAAAAGTTGAACTCGCCACTAGCCACTGATTATGGAGGTCTAAACATGGCATCATCCACACAACCAACAAAATAAATGTACATGTTCAAGTGTCCATTTGATAAAGTAGACAAATACACACCCAGTTTTCACAAAAACACATATTTATTTATTTGTTGGTTCATGTGTGTGTGTGTGTGCTTCTCCGAATGGTTTATGTGAAGTATTGCAACTTTGGCCATTAAATATGGTTATACACAACACTTGTGACAGTTGGCAATGGCTTGCATGTTGTCGTTGTCGTCGTCATCATCATGGCCACACTGTTGCTGTTAAAGAGGTGGAATGTGTGGGAACATTAGGAGGAGGGGGACTTTCATTTGAAATACTATTTTCATATTGTTTTTCTAAACCAGAAATCGGCAAAAGGACATTGGGAAATTGTTGTTTTCTATTTTCTCTCTTAGTAGTTGGAATATGGTTTGGGGCCACCCTAATATCCATCCATAATGACATTGTTTGCATGTGGTTATTTTGCAGTTTGTTCAATTTGTCAAGCAATGAAATTTTAATAATGTTGAACAATAACAACAGCACATATCAACCTGTTAATTGTTAAACCCTGACAATAACAAGTGTAGTTGCAAACAAGGGGCAATAAATTGCCACTCATATGTCAAAACAATAACAAAGTTATAAACACAAAGAGAGGGAGAGAGATAGAGTATGCAGGAGATTATATAAAGTTAGGAGGGAGAAAGCAAAGAATATTGATATATACAATTTAAAAAAGGAAAGGCCTTTAAAAAGTCTCCAAAAACTCTTCAAAAAATCATTGCCATTGTTAATTTAAAAAAACTCCACAAATTTTTAAAAAATGCATGTTATAAGGTTTTTAAGTAGTCCCTAAAATTTCTTCGAAAATTCCTCGTTTTAAGGTCTTTAAATAGTCTCCAAAAAATCTTCAAATATTCCATGTTGTGTAATCTCTAAACGATCTCCATTAATTTCCTAAAAAGACTGCTTTGTAGGCCTTTAATTAGTCTTCAAAAATCCTATAAAAAATCCAAGTTGAAATACCTTTAATTACTCTCCAAAAATTCCTTAAAAAATCCACGTTGTAATGCCTTTACATAGTCTCCAAAAATTCATCAAAAAATTCATTAAAAAATCACCATTGTGAGGTCTTTAAATAGTCTCCAACAATTTATTAAAAACCCCACCTTGTAAAGTCTTAAAATAGTCTCCAACAATTCTATAAAAAATCCACGTTTAAATATTCTCCAAAAATTCTTTAAAAACTCCAAGTTGTAAGGTCTTTAAATAGTCTCCGAAATTCTTTAAAAAATCCACGTTGTAAGTTCTTTAAATAGTCTCCAAAAATTCTTTAAAAAATCCACGTTGTAAGGTCTTTAAATAGTCTCCAAAAATTCTTTAAAAAATCCACGCTGTAAGGTCTTTAAATAGTCTCCAAAAAATCATTAAAAAAGTTTTTTTAAATAATCTCCAAAAATTCTTTAAAAAAAATTATTTAAATAATCTCCAAAAATTCTTTAAAAAATCCACGTTGTAAGGTCTTTAGGTAGTCTCCAAAAAATCATTAAAAAAGTTTTTTAAATAATCTCCAAAAATTCTTTAAAAAAAGTTATTTAAATAATCTCCAAGAATTCTTTACAAAATCCACGCTGTAAAGTCTTTAAATAGTCTCCAAAAAATCATTAAAAAAAGTTTTTTAAATAATCTCCAAAAATTCTTTAAAAAAAGTTATTTAAATAATCTCCAAAAATTCTTTAAAAAATTCACGTTGTAAGGTCTTTAAATAGTCTCCAAAAAATCATTAAAAAAGTTTTTTAAATAATCTCCAAAAATTCTTTAAAAAAAGTTATTTAAATAGTCTCCAAAAATTCTTTAAATTTTTTTTAAATAATCTCCAAAAATTCTTTAAAAAATCCACGTTGTAAGGTCTTTAAATAGTCTCCAAAAATTCTTTAAAAAATCCACGTTGTAAGGTCTTTAAATAGTCTCCAAAAATTCTTTAAAAAATCCAAGTTGTAAGGTCTTTAAATAGTCTCCGAAATTCTTTAAAAAATCCATGTTGTAAGGTCTTTAAATAGTCTCCAAAAATTCTTAAAAAATCCACGCTGGAAAGTCCTTAAATAGTCTCCAAAAATTCTTTAAAAAATCCACGTTGTAAGGTCTTTAAATAGTCTCCAAAGAATCGTTAAAAAAAGTTTTTTAAATAATCTCCAAAAATTCTTTAAAAAATCTACTTTGTAAGGTCTTTAAATAGTCTCCAAAAATTCTTTAAAAAATCCACGCTGTAAGGTCTTTAAATAGTCTCCAAAGAATCGTTAAAAAAAGTTTTTTAAATAATCTCCAAAAATTCTTTAAAAAAGTTATTTAAATAATCTCCAAAAATTCTTTAAAAAATCCACGTTGTAAGGTCTTTAGACAGTCTCCAAAAATTCTTTAAAAATCCACGCTGTAAGGTCTTTAAATAATCTCCAAAAATTCGTTAAAAAAGTTTTTTAAATAATCTCCAAAAATTCTTTAAAAAAGTTTTTTAAATAATCTCAAAAAATTCTTTAAAAAATCCACGCTGTAAGGTCTTTAAATAGTCTCAAAAATTCTTTAAAAAGGGTTCTAAATAATCTCCAAAAATTCTTTAAAAAATCCACGTTATAAGGTCTTTAAATATTCTCCAAAGATTCTTCAAAAAATCCAAGTTGTAAGGTCTTTAAATAGTCTCCACAAATTCTTTAAAAAATCCACGTTGTAAGTTCTTTAAATAGTCTCCAAAACTTCTTTAAAAAATCCACGTTGTAAGGACTTTTAATAGTCTCCAAAAAATTTTTTTTTTAAAATCCAAGTCGTATAACCTTAAAATTTTCTCAAAAAAATCTTAAAAAAATCCACGTCCTATGACCTTTAAATTTTGTCGAAAAACTCTTTAAAAAAATCCACATTGCAAAGCTTTATGTGGCCTTGAAGATTTCTTCGAAAATTCCTAAAAAGTCTCACCTTGAAAGTCCTTTAAAATTGTCAATCCTCCCTCATATATTTTTGAGTAATTTCCACATTTACATTATTTTTCAGCAGTCCTAAGGCTTAAGGTGTCCGTTTGCTCGGCTTTTCTTGTTGACTTTGTTGAGTGTCGACTGAAGTGGCATTTTGAGGAAAATATTATAATTTCATATTTTCTGACCTAGTATCTCGGCAGGTGCTTTGAGTTAACTACAAAGTGAGCACTTGACAAGTTGCTTGCTTGGCTGCAAAGAAGTAGCAGAAGAAGAACTGCAACAGCAACCACCTCCTACTTTCAACCTTCTGTTGCAACATTGTTGGGGCCAAGCCAAAACTCTGATTTGTCTGACCCCATGAACTTTACCTCTTGGTTTGCATTAACAAATTTTCTTGTTTCAATTTTCGTGCAGGATTATCACGATGACATACGACAAGAGCAAATGTGGGAAATGCAGGCACTGACCACATCCACCAATCCCAATGGCAATGGCAGCATTAATAACATCAACAGCGGCAATTCTAGTGACCAGGAGCTGGCATCGAGTCCAAATCACTTGATCGAGGGCGGCATCACAGATATGGACACATCGAATGATGAAAAATCCGAAGAATCGACGGGCATGGATTGTTTGGCCAATGAAAAGTTGGATAGATTGAGGGGACCCACCAGCAATGGCATGACGGCGGCCACGAATATGGTGGCAGCAAATTTGGCGGCGGATCCCTTGAAGTTGGGGGCGAATGCGGCACCAAGTAAGTGGGGACAATTTTGGAATTTCGTTTTATTTATTTTCATGTTAATGTCATTTTATTCTCCTCCATACAGTCCATCATCCCTGTGCCATGACCGTAACACTGCAGCAACAATTGTCGGCCGTGGCTGCTGCTGCAGCAGGCATGGGTGGCATTTTGAAGCCCTCGCCGGCTGCCATCAGCGGCCTGGCTCCCACCCAACCCACAACTGGTTTGACATTACCTCCCACAGAGACAGATCCTACGGCCGCCTCGGCCTTGACTTTTTTAGAAACTTCGGGAACACTGCTTCATCCTGCCCTGAGAAATGTCAAAGCGATTAATATTGGTAAGTTAAGAGAATTCATAAAGTTAAGAGAGTAAGTTAAGAGAATTCAATTCATAAAAATGTAAACAAATGACTGTACGATCTTAACGTATGTTTACACTGACTAAATCGAATGAATTTCAATTCCATTGCATATAAATCATGATAAAATGATACAGGTAGGCGCATCACCACAGCTGATGTCAAAACAATTTTGAAAATTAAAATTTCGATTAAAAAATTATTCAAATTGGTGGATTTATTTGAAAAAAAAAAAAAAAAAGAAAAAAAAACGCATATCATACAAGCCTCTGAAAGGCATCGTATAAGAAAATATTTATATTTTTGAAGATATTTTTTATATTTTATTGACATATCAATGTTAGTGATACTCAATGGAATTGACAGTTGAAATCCACTGGATACCTTAAATTTATCTTTTTTATTCGAATTTTATTCCAATACTTCTTTTTTATTCCCTCCTCCTCTAGCTGGTAATCTAACACGCAAACGCCCCCTGCTGGGCGTGCCACGCTCCAGTATGAATCCGACCAAACGCACGGTTATGACACTATTAGCTAGAACCAAAAATGCCCAGGCCCTGCATGCGGTACGTAATCCGGTCACAACACCCACACCTACACATTTTCCGGAGTAAGTCTAATGGAATTTTTCTTATCCTTCCACACCCCCTTTCGCTCTCTGAAAAAAAAATAAAGATTACAGTTTAAAATTTTAGTTATTCCAATTTTAGTCCATTGCAAATGTTGACGTCGCCGTTTATAATACCGCATCATCATCATCAGGCCATGGATCATCATCATCATCAGACAATGTTGCCACTGTCTAAGGAAAGTTTAAGTCAAGGAGTTTAAAGTGAGTTGCTGAGGAAGAAGAAGAAGAAGTTGGGAAATGACACAGGCAGACAGACAGACATACTCACCTTGCCACAACTATCCTAAAGAATGATGAAAAGGAATGAATGGAAGAAATAAAACAGAGAAGTAAACCCCCCGCCTCCTTATAACTACAAAGTAGATATAACACACACACATGTTTATACACACATACATACAAAACATATGTATATGCATATGTTCACATGTATGTTCAAGTTCAAACGAAAACCGCATCTTTGAGCAAAAGCAATGTCTCTTATACAAACAAAAACCAACAACAACAACAACCCATATTTATTAATAATTATTTTATACATTATTTTATCTTTAACGTTAACATTGATAACAAACAGACAAAATATTACATATAAATATAAGAAAAATATTTACATATTTACAACAAAAACAAAGAAACAAATATAAAGAAGAAGAAGAAGAAAAACCATAACGAAAAAAATAACATGAAATTTAAGAAAATTGATTTACTTTACGAACGAAGATATTTAACAAAGTTAGATGGAAGGAAAGGCGTAGACGGTCGGATGATGAAGGACATCAAGTCGTTACAGAACAAGTGTTAAGAATTAGGAAAATACCAAATTTAGGGACTAAACTTACATTTTAAGATTAAAGCAAAAAAAAAACTGAAATATTTCCAAGAAAAAAAAAAAAAGAAAACACAAAATATATTCAATAATTATCTCAAAATAATATTAATATAATAAATAAATTACAGTGTAAACACCAAGCAAAAATGAGACAACACAAAAAAAAAATCCCATAAATCCTCTAATTAAAACGCCTCTCCATCAAATGTCACATTAAAGCACATTTAACCAAGGTTTAAAACATGTTTACTTAAAATAATCCAGTGGATTTAAAATGTCGTTTCCATTGCTCATACGTCAGTGCTGCTGAAAATATTATAAATTCTTATTTTCTGAACTAGTACTAAAAATTCAGCATTTGATAAGTTGTTTGACTGAAACATGGTACAATTAAATCAAGGTAACCTCATTTCAAAAAAAAAAAAAAAAACATCCAGCTCTGCATTTTTCTGTAATTTACCTTGTCAAATTTAACTTTAATGAATAAAAATTTTAATCTCTGATTGTGAGACGTTGTCAAATGTATAATTTTGAAAAAATTGCAAACATATGGCTGCATGACGTTACCTTCTTAATTTTACCAGGGCTGAGAAGAAGAGCTGAACGAACTGTTACTTACTTTTAACCTTCACTGCAACATTAAACCCTTAAACTTTAGCCCCTGACCATGGTAGAAGAATATAGGTAGACGCGTCGACACAGCTGCTGGGACAATGAACTGTCAATCCAATTTTGGAATTGAAAATGTTGAATGAAAAATTATTTAAATTTATAAAAATTGTTGAAAACGTGGATTATAATAGCCTCCGACTGACGTAGTACAAGAAAACATATAAAAATCTACTTATAATTGAAAAAACATTTAAATTTTTTTTTGACATATCAATGATCCCAAGCGTTTATGCATCTGCCCGTATTTTTCTACCATGCCCCTGACACTATTGAATTAACAATTAATACCTTTACGTATACGTCAGATGAAATACACGGTATTTGAGAGTAGATTTCATTTGACAGACGCAATGAAATTTGCACTGGATTAAGTAAATGTAAACGTACTTATACTCAATGTAATTGATATTTTTAACTGTCTAGATTTTATTTATATGTTTATAATATTTCAAGGGTACCATGGTAGTAGAAGATAGGTAGACGCGTCGACACAGTCAAACCAAGTTTGGAATTAAAAATGTTGAATGGAAAATTATTTAAATTTGTAAAATTTTCTGAAAAACAGGAATTATATATTTGAAAAAAAAAAAAAAAAAAACATTTAATTTTTTTGACATATCAATGCTCCCAAGCGTTGATGCATCTACCTGTATTCTTCTGCCATGAAGGGTACATTATTATGGTAGAAGAATACAACGCTTGGGAACATTAATATGTCAAAATGTTTAAAGTGTTTTGTAAAAAATAAGTAGATCTTTATATGTTTTCTTATACGACGCAAACCGGAGGTTGTAATGATGTGTATTTTTCAACAATTTTTCATTCAAGATTTTCAATTCAAAAATCGGTTTTACAGTTCATTGTCCCAGCAGCTGCATCGATGCGACTACCTACATTCTTCTACCATGATTATCATATACGATTATACAATGTTCACACAGGATTGTTTCTATTTTTTTATAAATCCATGGCGAACGCTACAACATGCAACAAGCAACATGAAGCAATCATATGTTTATTTATTTATTTTTTTTTCAAATTATAATATTTACAACAATTTATTGCCAAAATGGATATTTATAAATCCATAAAGTGACATTTTACAAGGTATAGTAAAAAAATGTAAAGTTGAATATTTTCATTCCAAATGAGGTTACCTTGAATTAACTGTACCATGAAAACGATGTCATGTTCACACAGCCTGGTGATTTGTCTTCTTTATTCTATGTTTGTAAATTCCTGTTCTATGAATTGACTTGAAACAACTCGTGGAACAATAAGAAGTCAAAGCAGGGTCGTAAACGACTGAAATACATCCGTGAGGATATACCCGCATCTAATTAAAAGGAATAAATTGTTCTCATTTATTTATTTTTTTTTCTTTTTAAAATGGACGAAAAAACGCGAAAGACGAATGAAATGCCTAGATTTTCTTCCAAAAGTATTAACCAAATTTTTAAAACTGGTATTGGCATGGTACAATAAAAAGGTAAGGTAAAGCTATCAGCTGTTTACAATTTTTTTAAGTGTGCCCGACTTCTGCCTATTTTGTGTATGTATTTTCAAAACCAAGACATGTACATTGCGGCTCGCGTATTAAAGTTATTAACCAGCTTAGCCATGAAATTGAAAGATTGAACAGTTTGGATCATGTTTTTGAGAGAAAATCCGTTCATTTAATTCATTGTTCGGGCTATTTGACTCATTAAAATATGAGGGAAAGTATGAAAAAATGAAAATATAAAATTTTGAATGAGTTTGACAGAAAGCGGGCATAGCCTCAGCGCTGTATTTCTGTAGTTTTACGAAGCTGTTCTACCTCCTTATTATACCATGGGTATTGGTTTCAACAATTAGCATTCTGTGTAAAGGAAACTAAAGGAACTAAACCTAGTTCCTCTTCAGAAAAGGAACGAGTATAGATTTTGTTATAACACTTTTTTAATATTCGAAATAAGAAAACACCATCTCACCTTAACTTTGTTTTAGCAACTGCAAAAATCGACTAGCTTTGATTTTTATTGTAGTAATATTTTTACATTCTTGCATGTTATGAAAAAAATCATATATGTATTTTTTTATAAATTGTGACAATTGTGGTCCTCTAATCACTCATACACACAGAAATCTCCAACTAACCCAATCAAATTAAACAACCTTCAAATATATAAATAAAGAATCTGGTAACGAAATTACTTTAAAATTACTTTAACAATGAGAACAAAAAAATGTAAAACAAAACTGAAAACTTAAACACAAACAGCAAAGCAAAAACAAAACTAAATACAAATGTTTAAATAAAATTAAATACAAAATAGAAAAATTCAAAACGAATTTAATTGCGCATTCAAAATAAACAACAAAGAACAAGGATTAACATTGATGATGATAATGGAATAAAACAAATGGGTCATTTAAAAAAGGGTTCGTTAAAATAGAGGTTTCAAGCAGATCTAAACATGACATGAAAATCAAAACATAATTAACAAATATTTAAAAAAAAAAACCAACACAACAAAATACATATATTTATTTAAATACATATTTTATTTAAAAACAAAACAAAATGTTTACACCATGACAACATGGACAACTGTTGATCTTGTACTGAAATGAAATACAAAATAAATTTGAACTAAAAGAAAAACAAAATAAATAAAATAAACTAAAACCTCTTTGGATCTCTTGAATATGGATGAAGGAAAACGTTTGTGTATATTTTGGCTTTAGTATTTTTTAATTTTTGAGGACTCAAAAAAGGTATTTTAAACAAATAAATTTAGAACAGATTTTCATTTTTTGTTTTGTGTTTTTTTCTACTCTTACATTATTTAGCATTAAAGAATAACACCAATATTTTGTATTTAAAAAATAATAAAATAAGGTATAAAATTAATAAATGTTACTTTATTTATAACAAATAAATTTAAACAAAAAAATATTATCAAAATCCCAAAACAACAGAATATATTAAACAAGATTTTTAAATATAAACCATTAATAATAAATAAATAAAAAAAGAAACAAAGAAAAATATATTAAATATAACTTTATCCACCAAAGATCATTTGAAAGGAAAACGAATAAGTAACAAAATACAATTTTACCATACCTGCATACATGTCAAACAACCTAAACTTGCCACAAAAATGAAAAATAAAAAAAACAATAAGAAAAAATATCTGAATAAAAATAAATCCAATTTACACACAAAACCCCAAGTCGTTGTTAATTATATACAGAAAAAATATACTATGTATTTTAATATATTTTTTTTTTAGTTTCTCTTTAAAAACAAATATTAATTTTGATAAATCTAGGTTTGCCAACCATAATGGCTGTTATCCGTTGTTTACGACGCATAACGCCGTTTTTGTGTTTCCACAAAACATAACCTAAAATTAATAACCCTAAGTCTAAACCCAAACACTTAAATCAAATACTTAAACCTAAATGTGCTAAAACTTAAACAATGAAAAAAAAAACAATATGTTTAAATAAATGGTAATTAAAAACCAAAACAAAACCAAACAGCAACAACATTTACACTTAATCAAATAAAGTTCTAAGCATTGGCTCGGGCAAATGTTTCAATTTTTTGTCAGTGTGCTTTGCTTTTAAACCGAAAACAATTAAATAAAATTTAATATTAAAAATAAATATATATACATACAAAGAAATATAAACGTAAATTAAACATCAAAAGGGAATAAATTTAAATAAACAAAAGCTGAAAGGCAAAAACAAGAGTTAAATAAATGTCCTAAAAGTATTAAAAAAAATAAATTTGTTTTATTTTTAAGGGGTTTATTTTAAAGATTTTTGAATAGTTTTTTGAAAAGGTCCTTAAAAGGAAGAGGTGCTGCGCAGGGTGATATTTCTTAGAATTATTACAGGTTCTTTAAAGAATGTCCATTTTGGATTTTTCAAAAAAAATTGTAAAGTCTTAAAGTACATTAACATTTACGAAATCCACTCGATGTCAAATGTCAATTCAATAGCGCAGACGTCATGGTAGAAGAATACAGGTAGATGCATCAACGCTTGGGAACATTGATATGTCAAAAATTTTAAAATGTTTTATCAATAATAAGTAGATTTTTATATGACGCAAATCGGAGGCTGTTATAATAAGCATTTTTCAACAATTTTTCCAAATTTCAATAACTTTTCATTCAATTTTTTCAATTTCAAAATCGATTTGACTGTTCATTGTCCCAGCAGCTGTGTTGAGACGACTACCAGTATTCTTCTACTATGGGGGACGTTAAATAATATCCATTGGATACATGAATACAATTTACGTGACGTATACGCTATGGAATTGACATTTGAAATCGGGTGGATTTAGTAAAGGTTTTCATAAAACTCGTTATTTAGATTGTAAATTCCTTGGATTATACGTCTTTTTTAAAGAATTTTCAGATGTTATTTAAATATCTTACAACATGGATTTTTAAAAGAATATTTAAGTTCTATTTGAAGGCTATTAAAGACCTATTATCTGTCTACAGTCTACAGAAAGGTCTGGATTTTTGACAATGGGGTGTGGATTTTTAAAGAATTTTGGCATCCTTAGTTTATGTTTTATTCTCATATGCACAACATTTGAAACGTTTTTATTTCGAAAAGCGATTCATAAATTATTAACTGCTTCTAAAATGGTTCTTATTGAATACAAATTTTATTGGCGACTATAATTGTCATTTAAGAACAATGCAAATGTCTGCCTTTTTGCAATAATCATTTAAATTATTGCAGTTAAAAACGTTAACGGCTTCATCTTTGATACTCGTTCCTTGGTTCATTCAGTGAACACATATATTCTGCACACTGGGTTAGAACGATAATCGAACTCCTTTTTTCAATTAAACAAACAGTTGTTGCTTTTATGTTGTCTCTTCCACTTTCTATACATTCGGCGTGTTGCCTCTTCCTTCATTCACAACTTTCTGTGTGTTGAATAATAGCATTTGTGTCTTTGTCAGAGTGTGTCGGAAGCACATTGCGTCGCCGTCAAAAAAAGTCGACACACTTTGTTGTCTTAACGAATTTGTTTGGAAAATCGTCCCAGTGTCATGCAATGAAATCCAAATGAATTAAAGGAGAAAAAAATAAAATCCAAAAGACGCTTTGAATTCCGTTTAACGGCGTCAAAATGACTACCCAAAGCCGGCCTCGAGTTGAAAGAACTTACTCCCCCGGTTCATATAATGAATGTGGCCAGCGGTTTACCTCGGGTTATACATTCCACTCATTCGTAAACAACAGAGGTCCCTCGGGGATTTTGCTTTCTCGTTCTTTTTTATCGCGCATTTCTTTTTGATTTCTTGTTTGTTCCGTTGGGGACGTTTTTCATGACGTTTTTGTGTCATGCAATGAGGGTGTAAAATAGTAAAAAATAGTGTTAAAATGTTTAAAATAAATAAAAATCAATTAAAATCTTTCACCCGGACATTGCTACACACTCGCCTGCTGCATGCCGCACCGCACGCATCCAATGTATATGACGTTTTAATTATTGGCGGTGGTCATGCTGGCTGTGAGGCTGCGGCAGCTTCTGCTCGCATGGGAGCACGTACGGCTTTGGTAACCCATAAAAAGGAGACTGTCGGCGAAATGTCATGTAACCCCTCATTTGGTGGCATCGGCAAGGGTCATTTAATGCGTGAGATAGATGCTTTGGGCGGTGTATGCGGACGTATGTGTGACAAATCTGGAGTGCAATATAAAATCTTAAATCGCCGGCGTGGTCCGGCGGTATGGGGTCCAAGGGCTCAAATCGACCGTAAACTCTATAAGAAGGCCATACAGGAAGAGTTGTTCAACATGAGGAACCTGGATGTGCAATGTGCTGCGGTGGATGATTTGTTAATAGAGGCAACTGATGGTGGTAAATCCCAGCAATGCAAAGGTGTTATTCTACAAAATGGTGAGGTGATACGAAGTAATGCAGTGGTCCTAACCACCGGTACTTTTCTGAGGGCCCACATAAATTTTGGTTTGGAAGTAAAACCGGCCGGTAGGATGGGTGATGCCCCCGCCATGGCCTTGGGCCAAAGTATAGAAAATCTGGGATTTTTAATGGGCAGACTGAAGACTGGAACACCCCCCAGATTGGCCAAAGATAGCATAGACTACAAAAGATTGGTAAAACATTTGGGCGACGACCCACCCACACCATTTTCATTTATGAACGATGAAGTTTGGATAAAGGCCTCCGAGCAATTGCCCTGTTATTTGACATATACCACGCTGAACGTGAATAGAATTGTTAAGGATAATTTACACGTAAATCGTCATGTTACCGAGGAAATTACCGGACCACGTTATTGTCCCTCTATAGAATCAAAGGTTTTGAGATTTGGTGAGAAACAACATCAGGTGTGGTTGGAACCTGAGGGTTTTGACAGTGATTTAATATATCCCCAAGGCCTGTCATGTACCTTGCCCTACGAACAACAAGTTGCATTGGTTCACAGCATAGAGGGACTGGAAAATGCTCAGGTGGTGCAACCGGGTTATGGTGTGGAATATGACTTCATTGATCCACGAGAACTTTTCCCAAGTTTGGAAACCAAACGTGTAAAAAATCTCTACTTTGCGGGACAAATTAATGGCACAACGGGGTATGAAGAGGCGGCTGCCCAGGGCATTATTGCTGGGGCCAATGCAGCAGCAAAGACAGTGCGTTGCCACCAAGAAGCAGAGGCGGAACAACTTGCAATCAGTCGAACCGAGGCTTATATTGGTGTTCTGATTGATGACCTTACCAGTTTGGGTACCAACGAACCATATCGCATGTTCACCAGTCGAGCTGAATTCCGGCTAACTCTGCGACCCGATAATGCAGATATGCGTCTCACAGAAAAGGGCTATAAATTTGGTTTGGTTACCCAAGAGCAATATGACCGTTATATCAAAACCAAAACTGAATTGGATAATGCCAAGGAATTGTTGAGAAGCATAAAGAAACACACCAACTATTGGCGTGAGGCCTTGGGTGGAGTAAAATCCAAAACATCAGTAGAAAAAACTGCCTTTGATATGTTGGGTATACCAGCCGATAATGTGACATTAGATAAACTTATATCACTAATGCCCAATGAATTGGGTCACCTAAGGGAGCAACGTTTACTGGGTGAACGAATAAAAATCGAGGCCCTATATTCACATTTTGTCGAGGAACAATTTAAAGATGTCGAAGAAGTGAGACGTGAAGAAAGTCTTGTTATACCCAAAGATATAGATTATTTTGCGAAAAGTCTTAGCCTGTCGAATGAAGAACGTCAAAAACTGACCTTGATCCAGCCTCAGACAATAGCGGCGGCAAGTCGTATACAAGGTGTTACACCATCCACAATTGTAAGACTTCTGAAATATGTAAAACGTCTGGACGAACCTAAACAGCCACAAAAAACTAGCGCAGTCCTCAGTTGATGCAGGAGGAATATGTTACGGTGTTCTTAGCGAATTAGTTGTATATAAAAGTTGGTTATATAGAATAAATTGAGAATAATACAATACAATTGTAGATTAATGGTTAAAAAAATGTTTTAATAATTGAAGTTGAAAGAGAGTTCAAGAGATAAAATAAATCTGGGTAGGATGGGTCTTAATGAGATGCCAACAATTTCTATAAAACTCGAAAAAAATCCTCCACTGTTGGTTTATTAGCTTTCAAAAATAGTTTAAAAATACACGTTACCATTTGAAAACTTTTTGAAAATCGACGTTGAAAGACCTTTATTAAGGCTCTATATTTAACGAAGAATCCGGCGAGGCAAATGTCTCCATGGAGTATTTTTCAAGAAGAACAAGTAGCCAAAGTGAGGTAGTACTTTGTGAATAAACCGAATATGGGAAATGAATATTCCAGCAAAGATCGGCAAAACACTGTAGTTTGCCTAGAAGGCATGACAAGAAAGGAGCATCCTAAAAATTCGCCATAAACTAGACATTATAAAGCTTTCAAAAGTTTACAAAATAATCTGAAAAATCCTTATTTTAATACCCAGGATGCAGGCTTTGAGAAGGAACTTTAAAGACCTTCACAAAGGAATCAAAGTACCAGCGCCATCTAGAAGCCTCTTTAAAATGTGTCGGCGTCTAAGTTAAAAATGAACGGCGTTGGTCTTTGCAATTAAACAGCTGTTTTGAGCTTTTCTTCATTTTCTTCGCCGTATTATTGTATTTTCTTCTTTGAATATTCATTCGTAACATATTTTGATATCCATTTCACTTCACATTCACCTTCATTGTTGTTTTTTTCTGCACCTCCTAATTCATAACCTCGTGGAACGCTTTTAAATTAATTCGGTTGTCTGCCCGCAGAGATAACCAAGTTTAATCGTTTTTTATCTTTTCATTTAAAAAAAAGACACACAGAAATTCTGCTTATATTCTAATTAAGATCCAACGATTACCTCAGTTAATTCACAGCACTCCAGTTGAAAGTATTGTGCAGTTTGGCCCAAAACAACGGATAGAGCGAGGAAATGTCTTCAGCAACAGGTGTAGCAGGTGCCGGTGGCAAGTATTGTTTTGCCATTGATCGCGGCGGTACTTTTACGGATGTTATGTGCTTATGTCCGGATGGTCGGGTGCGTACATTGAAGTTACTGTCTGAGGATCCAGCCCGCTACAGTGATGCACCAAGAGAAGGTATCCGGCGAATTCTTAAAGAGGTAAGTTTGGTGTCTGACATTGACCTTGAAGGTTTGTTGTCTTTTTTTTTTGAGGGGGGATTTAATGAAGTGTGATGATAAGGAGATATACATATAAGATCAGAGCGAGATTAGAGAAAAGTTGGATGATACGGTTTACTGTGAACTTTGTTCGGGACTATTAAGAAATGAGCTGACACTGTGTTTAATTTTGTGGGAAAATTTTAATGTATATTCTCGAATGTGTGGGCTTTTGATTCACCAAATCATCAAGAAAGAAATCTATTGGAGTCATGAGAGCTTGGTTATATTATATCCGTAACACCTTCCTTTTTCCACCATGGAACACAGATTGGATTTTTTTATTCTTATTTGACCCTGAAGTTCGAATTAATGTTGCTACAATAAATACATTCCAATTATTGTATCAGGGGATTTTCTCCATGTATATTCCCCGCTTGCAATGCCATATAATTTGGAACAAGGTAATTGTTGTTATATATTTATGTAAATTCCCTAATATTTATGTTCTCGCATTTGCAGTTGTCCAAAACGGGTTATGTTGACATAGATTATAAGATAAACAAATATTCTACTTTCGAGATAAGCAATGTGCCAAATCATTAAGATTTCACGACACTTGGATACCAATGCCAAGAACTGTAATAATAAATCATTGGAAGCAGGCACACGAAAAAACAGGCCATCTTGGTTAAGATTATCACCTCAAAAGGTCTATTCTCTTAAAACGCAAGGTCTTAAACCAAACAAATTTGTGTTTTGAGTTTATCATTTCTTACTAAAATTGCTTTGAATTGCCAACAAAAAATCGAATAATAATTTTAAAATAGAGAATTTTTCCTTGTGGCAGGTCTTCTTAACGTTGGACAAGAAGATTATTATTGGCAACAAATATCTTGGCTTACCACTTTACAATTGCACTCACTACTTCGCCAATAAGTTTTTTGTTTACAGTTTCCACCAATACTTCGTGCAAGAGGTGGTCATTGACATGTAAAACAAACACAGAAATTGAATACCGAAATAGCTTCATTGGCACTGTTTGGTATAAACAAATGATTGCCAATATATATAGTATATGGCATCAAGAGATTGAAACATGCTTCGACAACCCAAACCCGTTTCCTGGAAGCGGAATGTGTTAAGTAATATTCTTGGGAAATATTTTAAATTGATTATAATTTGATTCTGATATAAATCAATGCTTATTATAATTTTTATAGCTCTCATTATACGATGGAGGGTATACACATTTGGTTTCGATTTTCTTAAAATTGCTTTTATTCCAATCGAAATCCTCTTTTCTTTGAATATTTCCAGGAAACCGGTGTGGACACCACTCCTGAGGGCCTCGTAGATACCTCACGCATTGGTTGGGTACGCATGGGTACAACGGTGGCAACGAATGCCTTGCTCGAACGTAAAGGTGATCCGGTTGCCTTGGTGGTAAATAAAGGATTTCGAGATCTACTCTATATTGGCAATCAGGCCAGACCCAAAATCTTTGAGCTGGACATTAAAAAACCATCAAATCTATATAAAACCGTTGTGGAAGTAGATTGTCGCATTGTGCCGGTTATGTCGGAGGAAAAATGTCAATTGAAAGGAAGTAAGTAAAACGAAATAAGGATCCTTTTTATATCAATAATTTATGTTTATCTTCCTTTTTCGTCCCGCAGAAGAAAGCTGGCGTGTTCTGCAAGGTGCTGGAGATTCGAGATATTTGGAAATGACACCAGTTGATGAGTCTGCTGTACGCTTGGCTTTGCAAAAAGTCAAGGCTGAGGGTATTACCTCGGTGGCAGTGGTCTTGGCCCACAATTACTCATGTCCTGAACATGAACTACAAATTGGAGCCATTGCCAAGGAGATTGGATTTGAGTATATAACATTATCACATCAGGCCATGCCCATGTTTAGATTGGTGCCCCGGGGCTATACCACATGTGCCGAGGCCTATTTGACACCGCATGTGGAAAGATATTTAAATAGGTACAACTTATGGTTAGGGTAGCAAAATTTGAAATTGTTAATCATTTGATTTGATTTGTTTTCAGTTTTAAATCTGGCTTCGATAAACAATTGCAGGGTGTGGAGGTGTTGTTCATGCAATCGGATGGTGGTTTAACACAAATCAACAAATTTCGTGCCTCCCGGGCCATTTTATCCGGTCCAGCTGGTGGTGTTGTGGGCTATGGCATAACCGGCTCCCGGGAAACTGATTTACCCTTGATTGGTTTTGATATGGGCGGTACCTCAACGGATGTCTCCCGCTATGCTGGATCCTATGAACATGTTGTGGAGAGCACAACAGCCGGCATTACGATACAGGCACCACAATTAGACATTAACACAGTGGCAGCTGGTGGTGGTTCGCGATTATTCTTCCGTTCGGGTTTATTTGTGGTTGGACCTGAGAGTGCCGGAGCCCATCCTGGACCGGCATGTTATAAGAAGGGAGGCCCTCTAACTGTTACCGATGCCAATTTAATATTGGGCCGTTTGAAGCCTGAATATTTCCCCAAAATATTTGGTCCTCATGAAAATGAGCCTTTGGACTATGAGGCTTCCAAGGTGAAATTTGAGGAATTACAAACGGAGATCAATAACAGTTTGAAGGAACAGGGAAGCAACAAGCAAATGTCCCTGGAGGAAATTGCTTTGGGTTTTATTCGCGTGGCCAATGAGGCCATGTGTAGGCCCATTAGAGCCTTGACCCAGGCCAGGGGCTTAGATACTTCCAAACATGTGCTTAGTTGTTTTGGTGGTGCCGGTGGTCAACATGCCTGTGCCATTGCCCGAGAATTGGGTATATCCAAGGTATTGATACACAAATATGCTGGTATTCTCTCGGCCTATGGCATGGCCTTGGCTGATGTGGTAAATGAGGTACAGGAACCCAGTGGTTTGGAGTTTTCAGCCAACAATGAATCTTTGCTGAAGAAAAGTTTGGAAAATCTCAAGGAGAAATGCCGTTCCAGCCTAAAGGAGCAAGGCTTTGAGGAAATTGTCTTGGAATCATTCTTGCACTTACGTTATGAGGGCACCGATTGTGCCTTGATGTGTACCCAAGCGAAAGATACCGCCGATTGGTTGGGAGGTTTCGAAAAATCCTTCCTGGATCGTTACCGCACAGAATTTGGTTTTGTTTTACAAAATCGTCGCATTGTTGTGGACGATATACGAGTACGGGGTTTGGGTAAAAACAAAACACCACCTGAGCTGGAAATCGAGGCGGCCAGCAATGAAATACCCGCCAATGAAGGAATTGCCATGGTTAGTTTTGATCAGGGCACATTGGAGGCCCCAATTTATTTGACCCAAAAACTACGCTACAAACACAAGATCTCGGGCCCGGCCATAATTATAGATCAGTTGTCTACGATATTGGTCGAACCCAATTGTGAGGCGGTAGTAACTAAATTTGGGGATTTGTTGGTTAATATCAAATCCTCGCAGGATAACAAAGTTGATGAGAAATTAGATGCTGTCCAGCTGAGCATATTTAGTCATCGTTTTATGAGCATTGCCGAGCAAATGGGCAGGTAAATTTGAATGCTAACAGAACTCAAAATAAGGTGTTGTAATATTTTATTTTTCTTCCAGAGTTCTACAACGCACCTCAATTTCCACCAACATCAAGGAAAGACTTGACTTTTCTTGTGCCTTATTTGGCCCCGATGGGGGCTTGGTGAGCAATGCTCCCCACATTCCCGTGCATTTGGGTGCCATGCAAGAAACTGTGCAATATCAGCTGAGGGTACGTGGCAAGACCCTGAAGAGTGGTGATGTAATTTTGTCCAATCATCCACAAGCTGGAGGTTCGCATCTTCCCGATTTGACAGTTATCACCCCGGTGTTCTACAAGTGAGTCTAGACCTACATTTTATTAAAAAATATGTTAATTCTGCTTCTTCTTTACAGAGGTCATGATACCCCCGTCTTCTTTGTGGCCTCGCGAGGACATCATGCCGATATTGGCGGCATAACACCCGGTTCAATGCCACCCCATTCCACTTCTTTGGCCCAGGAAGGAGCCTCCTTCAAATCATTCCTTATCGTTGAAAATGGCACATTCCAAGAAGATGAAGTTGTGCGGCGCTTCACCACCCCAACCGCCGCCGAGGGTGCCACCGGTACCCGTAATCTTTCGGATAACATTTCCGATCTAAAAGCTCAAATTGCTGCCAATCAAAAAGGCATCCAATTGGTGTCCGAGTTAATTGATTCTTATGGCCTAAATGTGGTCCAGGCCTATATGGGTTATATACAACAAAATGCTGAGGTGGCTGTGCGTGATATGCTCAAAGAAATTGCCAAAAATACCTACGATCGTACGGGTGGCTATGTCCTGGAAGCCGAAGAATTTATGGACAATGGGTCACCCATTAAACTTAAAGTAAGTCTAGATCCTGAACAAGGATCGGCAGTGTGTGATTTTACCGGTTCTGGTACTGAGGTGTGGGGTAATTGTAATGCACCTCGAGCCATAACACTCTCGGCATTGATTTATTGTTTACGCTGCATGGTGGGCCATGATGTACCGCTGAATCAGGGCTGTTTGGCACCCATTCGTGTAGTGATACCCAAAAATTCCATTTTGGATCCTTCTGAGGGTGCCGCCGTTGTAGGTGGTAATGTACTGACTTCTCAACGTATTGTCGATACGGTACTAAAAGCCTTCCGAGTCTGTGCAGCATCACAGGGTTGCATGAACAACATTACCATAGGTGATGAACAATGGGGTTATTATGAAACTGTGGCTGGTGGTGCGGGAGCTGGACCAAAATGGCATGGTGCCGGAGGTGTTCATACCCATATGACCAATACACGCATTACTGATCCAGAAATCATGGAACTACGTTATCCCATGATCTTGCAACGGTTCTGCCTACGTACCGATGAATCGGGTGGTAAGGGTGCCTATCAGGGTGGTGAAGGTGTGGAACGTCATATTTTATTCCGGAAACCGGTTACATTATCTGTTTTGACCGAACGTCGTACCCTGCAGCCATATGGTATGAATGGTGGTGAACCCGGCAAGAGAGGTTTGAATCTTTTGCTTAAACCTGATGGCCGTGTTATATCGTTGGGCGGCAAGACATGCATTAATGTTGATGCTGGGGTAAGTTGGAGCTCAAAATTCTTTGGGTAGTATTTCTTCATTACATGTTATGCTTCATTTTCAGGATATCTATGCCATGAAAACTCCTGGTGGCGGAGGTTATGGCCCCAAATCATGTGAAAACCAACCAAAGAATGTTGACGGGTCTCACGATATATCGTTGTTTTTGGAACGTGGCTCCGTCTATGAATATCGTCAAGCCCAGGAATCCGTTTAAGAAAAATTGTTGACTTTTTTCGATTTTAATTGTTATATCATGTTTTTGAAAAAGATATATTTTATAAAGTGCAATACATATTTTTGGTGTTATTTTATTGAGAACAAAATTTGATTAGTTTTTTTTTTTTTTAACAAAAAATTAAGTGTTATAAAAACCAGAAAAATCTGCTTGTTCTGCATTCGGCGCCACCTTGAGCCTGGGAGTATTTAGCAAGAGGTGTAAGCACGATGGAAAATACACAAGGCTTCGAATCCATCAATTTGTCTGTATCTCTGAATCGTAACAATTTCCTTCTCGTCCGCTCAGCAAAACATTGTTTTCCTCTGTCTGGCTTTTCACGAAAATTTGTAATCAGAAAAAGAGAGTAAAGGGAGGGTAATCTTCGTCCTGACGGTAAGATTAACCTGATGTTAAATGAGTTACATCCTGATTCATTTGTAAGATCGGGTACAAAACCCTTGCCACCCACAATCGTCCTTGAAGCAACGAATTCTATACCTGGTTTTCTATGAAGTTTTTTATGAATTATCTTAAAAAAGTAAATCACGTTGACCTCATCCTACCGATCCGAACGGATTTGTCTCACAAATCGGCACTTTGAAAAAGGTTTTCGTTTGTTCTTCTTGGTCGTATTCGTTTCAGGAATTTGTGGTTTTAGTCGACTAAGCTAAAGCCTTCCTTAAGTTTACAGATACTCCATTGAGTCCAAGGAAGTTTGAATTTTTTTGGAGGATTGCATTAACTCTATATCACCACTTACCACATAGAATAGGAGTTTCCCAAAGTCACCGAACATTTCGAGGCTAAATCATCGTTGAAATGCATTTATTCCTCGTTTACTTGTATTTGGTACAAATACACAAATGACACCTCCGTTGGATTACCGAGGTCTACCATGGTAAGGACTTGGTAACTAGTATTCGAAGAGGCGCTTGTTTAGAATACAAGCACCGAGGTTTGCTTCCATCATTGTAAGGATGCTCCATCATATGCAGACATACTCCCCCGAAGAAGAACCGGCATATTTAACTTTCGAATTCTCGGAGAAGCTGCACTTGCTGTTGATCTCCCTTCAATATTGTTTTATTGAGAACAAAAATTAATTGCTCATCTTGTTTGTTCCATTATGTGCTGCAGAATTATTAACTTTCTTTCAAATTGTTTATTCGAACTTAAAGTTCATTTTTATGAAGGGTTTGCGTCGATGACCATTTATCCTTGAGTGCAAAAAAGCATTTTTGACTGGCTTCTTTTGAAAAGAACAAAAATGCTTAGGGTCGAAATCTAACTAAGTCGACCTAAAACTCGTTTTTTCCTCAACGAAGAAGCCAGCCGATGACTTACGCCAGTCAAAAAAGCCTTTTTTTACTCTTGCCTCGCGCTGTATGTACTCTTACCTTTAGACGCCATGCCATAAATAAATAATTGAAGAAATTGTAAGATAATTTCGACTAAACAATTTGAAACAAAATTTAAAAATGTCGTTTCGAGCATCCATTATTTCCGGCAAACTTCTACAATGAAAAAGTTTTATTTTTTTATTGAGAACAAAAATTAATTCTTATTTCGGTCTATCCCCCTGCTCTGTTGACAAACAAACTGACTGATATTCTTCTTGAAATTTATTTCAAATTGATTTGATAAAATCAAAAGTTGGTTTTATTTTTGTTTTGTAGGTATTTCACAATTTTTTATATTTTGTTATTTTACATTTGTTTCTTTGCACAAAACAGCTGATTATGACATTAATTGATTTTGGGAGAGTGAGTGTCTGTCTGTGGGATGATGAGAGAATTACATTTTTTTGTTCAATTATTTGCTTAACTATTTTTTTCCGTTGTTTTTTTTTCTGACTTTTTTCCGTTATATTTTTTTGTTGTTGTTGATTACCAATTGTTGTAAGTACTTGCTGTAATATTACTGACTGACTCTGATTGGATTAGCTTATTAGACTATTTGGTTTTGCATTCTAGAGGAGAGGAGTTGATTTTCTCTCTTTTTGTTTTTATTTTAATAAAAAAATTCTTTTGAGTAGCTTTGATTTAATTGTTTTTTTGGTTTTTAATAAAGGAACTTAAAAGGGGAGTTTGTATGTAAAAAATATTATCCGGCAAATAATGGGGGGTTATTATTTAAGTTTTGTATAATATAATAATTATGTTTATGTATATATCTACATATATATAAAACGGACTAATTACACATTTATTGTTTATTTGGTTTTTGTTATTTTTTTACATAATTAGCAACAAACTTAAGATGTATGTAAGTAAATATTGTTTGGCTTTGAACTTAAATTGTGGATTTGGGGGGAAGAGTAGAAGTTTGAAAGGTAAAAAAAGAGATAAACTTCGTCAATATCAGCGGAACGCTTGATTATAGATGTCGATCCTTTGGCTCGTCTTGAAAGAGAAAACTACCAGTTGTTTATCTCTCTTATCTTCCTATCCATGTAAAGGGCTCTATAGTGTGAACATTTTTAATCAAACAATTGAAATTGTAATGTTACCATTATCCCCCCCCCCCCCCCCCCCATTTTCTTGGATTCTTCTAATTGCAGTGACCCTTATTCTCTGGTTTGTGAAGTTTGAATTTTGAATAAGTGAATTTCATTGATTTTTTTTACATATTTTTCTTTTGTTATAATTTGTGGTTGTTGTTGGTTTTATTTTTCTTCCTTTCTTACGTTTTATCACAGATGGCTCAAGATTTTCAAAATAGTTTTGTGTTTTCTTCATTCTATGCAAATAATGACTAAATTTAAAATATGTGTCCACTGAAAATCTTTTGTTATTTATAGTTATTTTTTTGTTGTTTTTTGTTATAATATATAGAAGAAAAATATTTTTTTATGTTTGAATTTTCCGTTACTTTTATATTTTTAGTATTTGTTTTGGGGTTTTTATTAAAATCACATTGAATTTATTTAACCTAACTTTTTTTATTTTATTATGAATAATTTTGAAATATTTTTTATTATATATATATAGTTAAGTGCTTAAACACATTTACGCTTATGTTACTTTTTATTATAATTTATTTATAGTTAAACATTAATATTTTTGTTTCTTTAATTTTAATTCGTTTTTTTCTTCTGTTTCTTTTACACATTTTTTATAGATTTTTGGAAAAAATTATAAAAAAAATTAAGTTTGCTTTTTTTGCTATTTTTGAATGTAATTCTTGAAGTCTATTATCAATTCGTTTTATTTTGTGGTTGTAGAAAAAATCACACGTATTTTGATCCATATATTTATTGTATGAAGACGAAAGAAAAAAATCATGAACTAAAAATAAACCTTTATCTTTTAAAACATAAAAGGATTTGTAGCGCTCTTCTGTTTCAGAAATGTCCCTGTAAGGACTTTCTGCTTCTGAAGAAGATATGCCATTAACAGTGAAACAATCAGAGTACTACTAGAATCGAAATAATATTTACAGTTTGCTTTCCATAGAAGAAGTTTACTATACCACTGAAGGAAGATCTCGAAAAGAGACCTCGGCAAACGAAAGAACTCTAAGTAATTTTCAAATTCAAATCAATTTAAAAGAGAATCTTTGAATGAGAAGTTGACCATCTTTCCTTTGAGGGGATGTACATTTTCTGAGATAATTATAATTTAACATAAGAATTTCATCCATAAGCGGCTATATTTTTACTCGACTTTGGTTAGAAAAGTCAAAATCGAAAAAGAGAAACATATTGACTTTTTCGTTGAATCAAGAAATCGAAATTTCTTAAAGTCGCCTTCTATTTTCGACTAAGTATCCCTAAATCAAAACATCTAGAAGGCATTGGTCTCGTCAGCGACTTTTATGGTGTTTATGAATTAATGTGACCCGAAGAGTATCATGAGATAGACTTCTCCTCAATGAAAACCTCTTGCAATCCTTCATTTAAAAAAGGCCTTATTGAGTTCTTCCATACATAAAGTCGGATCAGAGTACTTTCTAATAACCATCCAAATATCTCTGGATAGCAAAATCGACATCTGATAATTTGTATCTAAATATTTACATAAAAAATAAATATATATGGATCAAAATTAATTCCAATTGATTGAAGTTTAGGTTAATTATTCCATATTTTGTCCCCTTCTTCTGGGAGATGATGTTGTTTTAGTTCTTTTTGAGACATGTCTCGTTTATTTTCTCCCATTTCTCCAATTCTTTTACCACCATCGTCATATATTTTACTACTGCTAATTGCTGAGATTCTTAAAGAGATGATGTCATAAAGCCGATGAGGATGGCGCAGCTCCCGCTGACCCTGTAACCGATGTTACGACTGATGACGGTTGATTGTTTGTGGTCACTTCATCCGTTGCAGTATTACTACTACTACTGCTGGCGTTATTTGAGGATGATGCTGCAGCAGCAGCTGCTGCGGCCGCGGCTGCAAAACTAACACTTAACGCATTATGTAGTGTGGCATGTTTAGTTTCCGTCTCTGTAAAAGAAAGATGGAAGAAATCTGTTAAATTCTGTTTTTAAGACATTTTCATATCTGCCATAGCTGGGAATCAAAAATAAATAATAGAAAATCCAGAGATGGATATGCTTACTTTACATAACTTTAACTTCTTAATTCGACAGGGGTTTTACTATTAAACAAGTAGAAAAAGAAGAAGAAAAAAGGCCGAACATAGGGGCCGGACCAAACTTTTAAAACCCTCCATCATTTGGAAGGAACTTGAAAAAGTTAAAAAGATCATCGAAAAATACCGTTTAAATGAGAACCGCTATATGGGGGTTATATTTAGACAAGGACCTGCACAGGCAATTTTTTGTGTCAAAGGTTGAAGTATCTATTACGAACTTCAAATACGGAATGTCTAACAATTCTGAGGACTAACTTCGCTACGATCATCAAAATAGGGAATATCGGGAGATATCGTTATATGTCGGACCTGCATAAGCAAATTTTTTGTCATAGGTTGTAGTACCCATTTAGATCTTCCAATGCGAAATTTAAAACAATTCTGGTCCATAATGTCTCTAATACCATAAAAATATCGAATATCGAGAGATATCGTTGTATGGTGGCTATACGAAGACGTGGATCTGCATGCGCAATTTGTTTGTCATAGGCTATTGTACCCATTAAGATCTTCCAATGCGAAATTTAAAACAATTCTTGTCCATAATGTCTCGAAAATCATCAAAATTACGAATATTGAGAGTTACCGTTATAAGGGGGTTATACGAAGACGTGGACCTTCATAAGTAATTTTTTTGTCATAGGTTTGTTACCCATTAAATTGGCTCTCTACAATAAGAGGGTGATCGCGGGATAACACAAAAAGATGTTAGCATTTAATTAACTAATATAATTTCGCCATGAGGGAGTTTGCAAATAATTTAAAATATTCCTAACAAACAGGAATTTCATAGGTCTAGTTCAATATACACAACTAGAACTGGAGAGTTTACTAAAAAGTGCATAGAGGATTCATTTATTATTATGGTTAAAAATTCAGTCACTTTTGAATTTCTTTAGCGAACAATTTTAAAGGAGACAAAATGTGTAACTCCTCATTGATGAGAGAGTATAAAAAACCCGTCACTTTTGAATTTCTTTACCGAACAATCTTAAAGGAAACGAAATATGCAACTCCTCGAGTAGGGATTTTTAATTCAAATGTGGACCACATATAGGCGACACTAGGTACGAAAAATGCCAATTAGCGTTGCCATCTTTGCAAATTATTAGTTTTCCGTTATTCATGATTGAGGGATATGATCTCTCGAGAGAAATGCTTTCTTTGAGGAAAAATTGTAAAACTTCAAATTGTAAAACCTCATTATAAATATTGTTTTCATCTACAATTACTCTTTGTTATAGAAAAGTCTTTTAATTACTGTGCGTTAGAACAAGACGAATCAAGTTCTAAGTATTATGTTAACCACTCACTCGCTTTGTATGTTATCAATTTATTGAAAAGAAGAAGACTCGAACAAAATATACTACCATATACTATATATATAAATTGTAAATGTAGTCAGGATCGATCCCTTAAGGGCGGGAAGATTCCCTTGAGTGGTATCCATTCTATTCATCTAACCATTTTCTTTTCAGCGGGATAATCCCATCTACACCATTCGCAAAGAATTTATTTCATCATTTTCTGCTTTTATTCTTGTCCGGAACTCCTGATAACAATGAAAATCATGTATCCAAGCTATAGGGACGTCGAAAAGATGTGACGAATTTGGCAGAAGTTACATAACAACTGTGGTAATACCCAGACTGTTTACTCCATAGATGTTGAAAATCTTAAAACTTTTTTTAATTCTAACAAACCACCAGACCAAGAGCTGTATTATTATTGCCCCTCCGAGGTTTATTGTAAATAGTGTCCGTATCATTCCGATTTGTCGCCTATTTTTTGGGGATTTTGATTATTACCTCAAATTAAAATCAGAATTAAAACAGAAAAAATAAGAAAATAAAACAAAACATTTTCTGGCTACATTTAATTGGTATTTATTGTTTTACAAAATAATAATAATAATTATAGTAATAGTCATAGTTATAGTAGTAAGCAGTAAGAATAGTAAAAGGTAATAAGAATCAAAGGAGAAACTTAAAATTAAAAAAAATTAAAATTGCCAAATAATTTTGTTTTAAACCATTCATCTTCTTCTTATACAGCTTAATTACACGAAAAAATAATAATAATAAGAGAACAAAAATTAAATACGTTTTATTTATGTATGTATGTAACATGTGCAATGTAGGTGTGTGTGTATGTTCTAATTAAAAATGTATGTATGTTGAACATGCGTCTGTAATGTTTTTTTTTCTTTTTTAAGCAATTTGATTAATTATTTTTTTATTATTATTTGCGTTGTTCATTATTAAAAATAATTTTAATACATTACATATTTATAAAAATAATAATAAAAAAAGAAGTTATAACAAAAAGAAAACAAATTAAAAGAATGAAAATACAAAAAAAAACTAAAAAAGTAATATTTTTTATGATATTTTCAGGGGGTGTAGAGCTGGTAGTTGGAGTGAAAAGGGGGGCGAAGATGAAGTTCTATGGATGTTTCATGAAAAAGTAAAGCTTTAAGGACACAAGAAATTGTGGTAGTTCTTCGGCGCTTGTGTGTATTTTTGTGTGACTCGTCTCAAAACCCGTATAAATACAAAACTAAAATTTATAATTTTTAAAATAATAATAATAATAATATTAAAAAATAATTGTTATTTATATATGTATATAGTAAGTATTGTTATATGTAGACGATGATCAAACCAAAATTTCCCCAATAAAATATTTTCGAAGGCATTATTTTCTAGGCTATCTCTCGGAGCCCAAACAAACTGCGCCCCTATATTATATCATATATGTATATACACAATTATCATGTATGCATGTGTGTGTGGGTGTGTGAAATATCCGTTTCTTTTCCTTTGCATGACTATCTATGTATGTGTCTGAACTGTTACATACAATCATCATTTTCTGAATCTACCAATCCACCAATAATCACCTACTACTCACCTCAGCCTGAACTGAGGTGGAGTTATTTGAATTATTGTTATTATTGCTGGACGACGATGTAGCACTGGACACAGCAGCCTCATCTATGAAATTTGTCTGTGGCGAAGAGCCAGCCACATTGGTACTGCTACTCACCACAGGTGGTGAGGTTGTGCCGCTGGTGGTGGAGGTAACACCAGTTGTGGAGACCACTTCGGGCGATTGTTTGTTGGTGCCGGCCAATGTTTGATTTGTTCGTGTTGTTGTTGGGGCCGCCGTAACATTAGATGTTGTGGCGGAGGGAGTGCCAGGCTTTGGTGGCGAGGAGGACGACGATGATGATGATTGCTGTTGTTGTTCCTTGATTGTAGTGCTAGTAGTGGTAGCAGTGGTGGTGCTGGGAGCAGCTGATAATTTAGAATTTTTGCCATTCTCCGCCTGCATTGCAGGAGAAGCTGGCTGGGAAGAGATTTCTGTCAAATTTGTTGTTGCTTGGTTTGGACCTGCCATTTGTGTGGTTAATTGTTGGTGTTGTTGTTTACCTTGTTGTTGGCCAGTTGCTGGACTATGGCGTCGCAGCATGTCATTGTTGACTCCCTCATCGGATTCCTTGTTGTTTGTGGTTGATGTTGTTGTTGTTGTACTGGGCGATTGCGCTGATTTTTTATCACTTAAATGCATTTCATTTACCGTGGATGTGTTTGTTGTTGTTGTTGGTGGGGGTGCTGATTTATTTCCGCCTCCTACTCCTCCTGTGGAATCATCTTGCTCCTTGTTGTCGTTGTTACCCGTCGTTGTTGTTGACTCGCTTAAGCCATTGGCCTCGCTGGCTCCCGCCATCTGTCCGGCCCTTATCGATTCCGAATTACTAACCGTCGATGGAGCATGATTACTGGAATTCGAATTGGATCCAGTCAAATCAAGAGTAGTGGGCTCGTGAGTGGAAGCAGCTATACCGGGATTATTTGGCTTATCCATGGCCGTTGCCTGTGGTACCATGTTGGCAATCTGATGACGCATGGCATGGGGACTTTGTTGTGGTGGCATTCCGCTACTCTTCTGACTGCCATTAGAGGGCTGTGTTGACGACACTGGAGCCCCCGAGGATGGTGTCAATTTTCCTCCTACCCCAGCCAGGGCGGCGGCACTGAATGCCGAAGGATTTAGGCCAGCCGAACCCAAAGGCGGCAATGAATGCGGTGACTGGCTTGTGGGCAAACTGGCGGCCGCTGCAGCATGCATGGCCGCTAATTGGCTATGATGATGAGAATAATACATGGAGGACATATGACCCGTCGAGGCGGATGACAGCGATGAGGTGGACTGGGCAATGCTAGACGTGGACTGCAGCGATGGCGCCAATGAGGTAATACAATTCGCTTCCGAAACCCCCCGAATTGGCATGGCGCCACTGGAACTCACAATGCTTAGACTGCCATGCGGTGAACCGGATCCCGAACCTGCCGTCGAGGTAAGGACTGAGGATGTGGAATGGGCTGGCAGTTGGTGGCTAGATGTAATGGCCGGATGTAACGGAGACATGTGCGGGTGTGTCAGATTCATGCTGTGATGGGCCAGCCCCAGGGCAGCCGCCGAGAAGCCATGATGTCCCAAGCCAGCTGGACTTAGACCCAATGCAGCCTGTTGCAGGTGATGGGGTAGATTGGCATGCGGCATGGAAGCGAGGCCCTGTAAACCCAAACCAGGAATACCCATGGCCCCGTGAGGACTTTGTCTTTGGTTGGCGGCCGCCGCATGATAGGGAGAAATGCCGGAGAGACCATGTAGCCCAGCGGGAGGAGCTCGCAAACCCAAATTTAAATTGGGTATCATGGAACCCAAAAAGTTACGACTCAAAGGATTGTACAGGGGATTCGAATAGTGATGAGCGGAGGCTGAGAGTAGCTGTTGTTGCCTTTCCCTTTCACGGGCCTCCCGCTGCTCCTTTTCGCGCATTTCCCGCTCACGGGCCTCTTTTTCCTTTTGTTCCTTTTCTCGCTGTTCCTTTTCGCGCTGCTCACGCTCCCTTTGTTCCTTTTCACGTTGTTCACGTTCTCGTTGTTCACGCAGTTCCCTCTCCTTCTCACGCTGCAATTCACGTTCCCGTTCCTCCTCACGGGCTCTGGCCCTATGTTCCTCCTCCAGTTTCATGCGTTCATGGAAACTAGGACCCAGACCGAGGGCAGCACCGGGTATCATTGAATACAAATGTGAGGCATAGGGTGAAGCCAAGGGCTGATATAAGGCGGCATGAGGATGGGCACCTGGGTGGGCGGCACGTAGCAACTGCAAACGTTGATCGAAATACATTTGTTCGCTATAAGGCAGACTGGCAGGATTCAAAAAGGCACCTAGACAAGGAAATACAAGGCATTAGCTTGGAGTTAGTGAAGCAGAGAGATAAAACTTACCTGGAGGCATGCCTGGTATACCTGCAAAGTGCGTATATGCATCCAAGGGAAACGCCCCGGCCGGATGTATTAGCCTATCATCGGATCTGTAGGGCTGAAAACCGCTGCGTGCCAAAAGTTCGGGTTGTAAGCTGGCACTGGGCGGTTGTGAGTTGAGACGGGCAATCTTTTCAGCTGGTTGCGGTGAGGGTGCGGATCTCTTTTTGGCCGCCGATGATGAGCGTTCATCGTTGTTGGAATTGGGTGTCAAGGAGGAGGCTACCGACGAGGCCATGCGCTCATTGCCACGACTTTGTGGATTGTTGTTGGGCGCCAGCGACGCGGAGGGATTTGTTGTAGCACCGGCGGAACCGGAGTTGGGAGTTGCAATACTGCCACCACTGCGATCCTGACGATCCCGCGATGAAACCTCTTCCTCTTCTTTGATATCGGCCTGTTTGGCTAGGTTACGTAAAGCGTTGGCAAATGGGCCCCTTGCCTGGGCTGCACTTTGATTTAAAGCTCCTGGTGGTACACCAGCCAATTGTTGTTGTACTTGCACAGCGGCAGCGGCTGCCGCCACAGCCTGTTGATGAGCCTGATGCTGTTGCTGGACCAGCGCGGATGGGGAGTGGGCACCCAAATGATTGGCGGCAGCCAGTGTGTGATTTATAATACCGGTTGGAGGACCTCCACCAGGATTCACTGAGCCCGGAGGTTGGGTAATTGTTGTGGCTGCATTACCACCGCCTGTATTTGCCCCACACGGACCCACTGCACTAGCGTTGGCGGCGGGAGATTGTAAATGGTGGGGTGAGGGTATGGCAGGTGCTGGACTTGTGGCCGGTCGTTTGGGAGCCGTTTTCGGTGGCACTGTAAGAAAAGAAAGAAAAACAGAGGAGAAACAATATTAAATGTCTGCTTTAAAGTTTATGGGGGTTAAAGGGTAGTTGGGTGGTTGGTTTAGTTACGACTCAAGGGTTGTTCAAACAACAAATTGTTGCCCTTCAATGTTTACACAAACTGTCGTCACTTAACCATATGCCATCATTTAAATATAGTTTTAGTTTACAGAACAGAAGATAATTGAATAAACCTTTGCAAATCTAGTTGGGGGGGGTTTTACATTGCAAATCTATACAAATTTATTAGGGGTTTCCTGCGGCAAAGCGGGATTACTATGCAGGAGACACGAGTTGGAATTGGTTATTACAGTGTAGCAAAAACATTTTAAATGCCATTTATTTCGTATTTTGAAACGGAGAGAGAAAAAGAGAGAATTCTTTAATCTCCTCCCTCTTCCTCTTCGTTCTTAGAAATCCACAATAAATCACCCGAAAATAAATTACAACATCTGAAACCCCCTTATTTGAGGAAAGGGAGCATCTTAAATGATAACGTGTGGCAAAGGGGAGATAACATTAATTGTGAACTAACTTCATGTCATTATTTGTCGCATACTTCTTCACAGCCTTCATTAGAATTAGAATGCAAACGTGTGGCAAAAGAAGGTGTTTGTGAACGGAGGAAGAGAGTAATGCTAGGAACACAATTGGAGCGAGCGCCCTACGCGGCGACAAAATGAGCCGCGAAAATTCGTCGTATGGAACACAATACCGACGAAATTATAAAACAGCTGATGAAGTTGTTTACTTTTTGCTCATTTGTTGACTACAATGAATTATACAAGAACACATAATTCTTTACGTTCTCTATTATAATTTCACTTATGTCCATCTTCTCTATTATAAATTCACTGATATCCATCTTCACTCAGGCGCAAGTACACAAATAAATAAACAAATTAATTATGTTTTTTTTATACGAGTAACAGATAGTAGAGTGACCATAACAAATTTTAAAGTAAAAAGTAACTTTATTTACTAAAACATATAAAATTCGTACAAGTATGGCCACCTTGTACTGTTTTGTTCGCCGGTCGCCGGCGTATGAAATAGAAATAAAGCTAATTGAGTTCGCGGCGACCGACGAAATTTTCGCCGGTGCCGTCATTGTGTGCACTTCCATATACACATATGTGTTTTATTTTTGACGACGAACATACGCCGCGAAAAAATTCGTCGTTCGCTCCAATTGTGTTCCTAGCATAAAAATGCTCTTTCATCTCCTATCTCATTCAAAAGCGTAAGTTTTCTAAAATTTACAGATATTCCCATCTTCTTTCCTAGAAATTATGACGTCTGAAGCCCCTATATATAACGAAGAGTTTCTTTAATGATAACCTGTGGCAAATGCGAGACAACGTTCAATTTCACTTTTCTTAGGTATTCACAATTAAAAACTGAGTTTTTTCATCACAAAACAAATAATGATGTCTGAAAGTCCTTTATATTACACAGAACTTCTTTAAAGACAACGTGTGGCAAAAGCAAAACAAAATTTAATTGCATGCCATAATTTTTCGGATATTAGCGAATTCAAAACATCAAACTCACTGTCTTCCCTTACCCTCCTTCCAGCCCCTTCCACTTAGGTTTGGCTTGGATGTGCTTAGTGGTTTTGCAATTCATCCATTATAATATACTACTCAATAGAACGGAAAAGATTGCTTCCTCGTTGGGATTTTGCATTGTTGGTTTTGTCTTGTTCCTGAGGTGGCCGAGTATGAGGGAAAGCCTTAGGTTCTTTCATAAACATTTCCTGTTTGTGGCTTCCCTGAATATCTCCTCTTTTTTTTCTTAAAAATCCTTGAAGGAAAACTGAATTTCCTCACCTTAAAACATATCATAATATCTGAAACCCCCTTATAAACAGATGGGTTCACCTAACGGCAAAGTGTGGCAAAAGCAGGACAACGTGTAGTTATTCCTAATTTCATGTTATTATTTATCACACATTAACCACTGGCTTCATTAGAATCACCTCAACGTCGCTCCTTACACCTCCCCGACCCTTTGACTTGCAACTCATTCAATAATAATTCTAAGAAATACACAATAAAAGTATAGCTTTTTCACATTAAAACAAATCAGGACATCTGAACTCCCCATATATTACAGAGAAATTCTTTAATGACAACGTGTGCCAAAATCAAAGCAATATTTGATTTCATGCTTATTTTTCGTGTATTAGACACTGTCTTCGTTAGAATGCTCAAACTCCTTTATATAACTGAGAGCTTCTTGATTGACAACGTGTGGCAACAACAATACAACGTATAGTTTTTCCTAATTCGTATTATTATTTGTCGCATATTGGCTACTTCCTTCATTAGAATGCCACTCTGTTACCTCAAGGTCGCTCCTTACACCTCCCCCACCCTTTCAACACAGTTCGAGGTCAATGGTTTTGCAATTCATCCATTAATAATTCCTAGAAATATACAATAACAGCATAGCTTTCTCACCTTAAAACAAATCAAGACATCTGAAGCCCCCTTATATTACAGATAAGTTCTTTAATGAAAACATGTGACAAAAATAAAACAATATATAATTTAATGCTCATTTTTCGCATTTTAGGTAATATCTTCGTTAGAATTCCACACATGAGGAACCTTAGTGTCTTCCCTCATACCTTTCCATCCCTTAAAACAGGTTTGGCTTGGAATTCATTAATTAATAATGGGTATCAATTAATAACGCTTTTTGGAATTATGCATGTTTGTCTTAGCCTTGTACCTGAGATGTAGGAGGAGGGCGAAAACTCAAATGTAGCTCTGCATATGGTTTTCATGAAGTTCTTCTCTTTATTTTTTTCTTAAAAATTCTTAATTAAAATTTGTTTTTTCTCTTCTGAAAACAAATCATAACATCTGAACCGCCCTTATAAGCATAGGTCTACTTTAATGACAACGTGTGGCAAAATCAAGACAAATTTAAATGTCATGCCATAATTTGTTGCATATTAGCCACTGTCTTCATTAGAATTCCACAGAGTAACCTCTTACTCCCTCTCCTCCTCCCATGTCCCCATCCACATGGATTTGGCTTGGACGTGGTCAATGGTTTTGCAATTCATCCATTAATAATTACTACTCAATGGGTAGGCCGGCCGGTCGGCCAGCAGAGTTTGCTTTTGTGGATGGGATTTTGCACTGCTTGTTTTGTCTCGGGCCAGAGGAGAGGGGAGGAGTAGGATTTAAGTGGTGTTGGTAGGGTATTTTTCGGTTTTGGTTTTACTTGTAAACATACACCATACATATTGTGTGTTGGAAAGTGTCATCAGGCAGCAAGCAGAGTTGCTGGCTGCTGGTGGTGGTGATGGTGGTTGGTGTTGGTTCAAGTACGTTCATAAAAGTGGTCACCAGAAATTAGATATGCCATGGCCAGGTTATAGACATGTGGACATACTCAAGTTTGGAGCGTGTGTATCCCCCCACCAGTCCAGTCCAGCAGGTGAAACACTTTCTTGCATGTCATCAATGGCTTGGGGTGCACGTGTGTTTGCCATGAAACTCATATGGACTATTTTGTGGTTTCCTAAACTTCTGGCCTCATGTACAATGAAGGGTGATATAGAAGAAGAAGAAGCAGCAGCAGCACCAAAACATGGATTCGATCATGTACTACTGTACGGTAATCTTCCATATTTGTAACTGATTAAGGTTAACTTTTGAAGGAGGAACACAAGGGAGGGAGGGAGAGAGGTGGAAGAAGAGGTGGTGGGGGTGGTATAGAACGGGTGGGCTTGCCAGAAATCATGTTTAGTTTCCTGGGGATACTATTAACGCAATACACGACGCACTGGAGCATAAGCAGCTAGGCAGCCATTGATGTTTGAGTTAAGTTAAATCCTCATGTAAGTGTCCATATTAAATGGAGGTATAACAACAACAACAACTGCTACAACAATTTGCCCGAGGAGAATACACAACAGTATGGTGGCAATGGCTCCGTGTGTGTGTGTGTGAGTGAGTGTATGTCCATCTCTCTCTAGTGTTTGGTGGTCCTTCGTCCAAATTTCGACATATTTATATTGGCATTTAGTAATTATTGTATTTGTTGCGGTTTTTCGAAAATGATTATAAATTGATAGGATGATGCCCTGAGAATGCCAGCAAAATACATCCATCCATGTGATTATGATGAGCATGATGATATTGGTTTGTAATTGCATTAAATTAATTAAAAATATTATTAGATGGATTGGATGCAAGCCAACAAATGCTATAAATATATAATCACGTGAGTATGTGTGTATGTGGCATATGTGTGTGCGTGTGTTTGGATCCAAGTATGTGTTTATATTTGGCCATTAAAACTATGGAGAGTGGAATATTAAACTATTATTGGAAATAGTAATAATCATGGTATAGCCACTCACTCTGTTATGCATGGCATGATGGACCGACCACCGACCGACCGACCAGCCACCACCATCATGTATAATTTTTGTAAATATTCTGAAACACACACACACGTAGGCACGCATTTAATTTGTGTGCAATAATAAATAAATTATTACAACTCAATTATTGCCCCCATCCCCCCATTCTCAAAAGTGATATCGCACAAAATTCCAAGGGTGTTTTGAATATAATATCATCCAAAATTGTAAACCAGGGGGAAAGGTGGTGCTGCTGCCCATCAAGGTTTCCATAATCAATGCTGCCTTGTGTTATGTGTCATTTAATAAAAGTCATTCTCGCATAAGAATAACAAATGTGATTATTTATATTAATACATATTAATAGCAGGAGTAAAATTATATCAAAATTTTGTAATAGAAATCATGAATTCATAATTTCATGCTCATATATTCAAGGAAATTCTTTAAATCTTTGAAAAACTGCAAAAGAAATATTTAATTTCAAGTCTCGAATAATAAAATCATAGAAAACAAAAGGGATTTTCAATAATTTGCCTAAAAGTATGCTACAGTTTGTCATGGATAAATTGTCTCAGAGAGAA